CAAATCCACCACTTCAATGTTTGGAAACAATCAAAAAAGGCTAAACTCCCTCGCCATAAATGGCCACGACATAAATCGGTTCCTCTGCACGAATACTTATGTGTATTAAACCCGACAAGAAACTTATCATCATGAATGACCACGTGAAATATATAATATTGAAAATAATAAATGTATAATTTTCGTAAATGTTCTCGTTCTATTGAAGGATGTTTCGGTTTTGCACAATGGCGAAAAAAAAAACCACAGAAAATCGAAAAACGACTTTCTTAATCACCAACTAGATTATTAATACAACAAAAATGATCACGTGTCGTTATTTTTATTGAAGCAAGATTTCTAGTAGAAAAAAACAGTTACGAAAATGTAAAATCATGAAATCGTTACGCCGTAAATATTTGTCCGTTTATCCCTACGTTTTTCCTATGTTTTTTTTTCCCCAATTATTGTGAAAACTCCTTGGAAAATAATAAAAAAAAAAAAGACATTCTCGAAGTATAATAAATATCATTGTAAAACTAATACATTCTTCACTTTGTTCGGAATCTAAACAAAGAAAATACCCTAATTCGTTCATAGTAAGCGGTGTAAAGGTTGAAAGATCGTAATATTAATATTATTAAAAGTTCTTATGCGAAAATAACAAGAAAATAAAAACCATTCGTTTGATCTTTATTAAATCTGTTTTCACCCGATCACAGTGTTTTTTTTTTACTGTTTTCCTGTTTTACCACCTGTATATTCTACATTATACGTACGAAGAAAAGAAGAAAACACGGTGAGTGTTGTGTTTATAACCTCTACTGTCTCCATACGCTATATTGTCACAGTCACTATAACGTTTGTATACACGAGTGTATGAAATATAATATTATATATATTTAAAAAAAAAAAAAAAAAACAACTTACAACGACGTTATGAATATATTACGGAATATAAGTAATAATATGAATATTGTATAGTATATTGTATATGATAATGTAGGAATAATAATATTATACATTTTTTTTTCGTATTTACTTATTTTCAAACGGAAAAAAAAACGCGTTTAAACGTAATATTGTGTGTATAGAATATTTAAAACGTTCAAACTGTAATACAGTTGCACTATAGACGATGTATTACAAAACGTTTTATTAAAATGTGATCGGATACTGATGGGATTGTCTTTCTTCAGGGCCGGCGCTAGGTTTTGCGAGGTCCTAGGCAAATTATTCCAGAGGACCCTGAAAACATCTTCTACCAATCAATACAGTGAAAACCGGTACATTTTACTCACCCCTATAATCGAGCATCGATGGTTTAAGGGGCTTATCCCCCTACGTTTACATTTAAATACCAAATAATAATTTATTAATACAATAATTTGGCTCACTTCTCTGCTACTATGTTGACGCTCGAACGATCGCGGCATTTACATCACATTTTTTTTAAAAATACAAATATTTATACCTAATGTTATATAACTAATTTAAAAAAAAAAAGTGTAAATATTTTATAATCGTTCTCAAAATTATCAAAATATCACCAATTTGTATAATATTAATAGAAATTTAATGAAATAATAATACAAAATTATTATTATATAATGTATGGTATAAATAAGTAGCGTCAAATGAGTAAAGACGTCAAACTTTGTGACGTCAAAATACGCCAACCCTCGAAGATTGCTTTAATAGAGTATTTAAGTAACTACATAAATAAATAAAAATAATTGGCTAGACTGAAAGTTAAACCACTAGATTAAATACTCTGTAAACCATATTTATTTCAGAAAAAAAAACTAATTTAGTAAAAATTACTTTCGTAGGTACCAAAAAAAATTATATAGATGCATAATGATGTTGTATATCTGTATCTATTATAATCTGTGCTCGAACCAGGCACGGATCCAGAGCAAAGATCTGGGGCGCCCAATAATTTTTACAACACACATACAATTAAAATATAATTTAATACATTATGTATATTATTTTCTCGTACGATTCTCATACAAAAATGGGAGAAATAATATATCTGGGAGGGGGGGCCTGGGCCTCTTGGCTCCCATTGGATCCGTCGCTGCCTCGAACTGGGAAAAATAATAACTCATTGTAATGCTTCTGTAATTTTGACAAGTAATGACCGCGACAGTTCAAAAGAAAATTAATTTGTGTACTTGTGATTCAGTTTAATTTGTTTGTTTATTAATTAAGGCAAACATTATAAGCATCCGCGATTACCAATCAATTCGAGATTGTTCCTTATCAAGACAATATTATTATAATTATTTACTTGTAAACAATTTTGAAATTCATGAAATGTACATACAACAGAACATAAATATAATTATTTTGCGAGATAAGTAACTCAGATAGGTACAAAAATAAAAAAAATAAAAAAAACATTTGATACATCATAGTAAAACTAATAGGGAAATATTAACATTTAAAACAAAAATGTGAGGCCCCAATAAGCGCGAGCCCTAGGCTGCTAGGTGCCCAGTTTGCCTCCCTCCCCACTTTCGTTGGCCCTGTCTTTCCTTGTGTCCGAAGCATTATGGGTACGCGACACAACGATAATTTAGACCGATTTTTCGGCAATCGATCGATGCGGTAAAACGATAGCCGCAATTGTTATTCTGAAAAGAGATTCGCGTTCGTCGAAAAGTGTACGTGCGCGAGATCGGTCGGGCTACTTTTTCACATTTTAGTCGTCAATTTCTGAAAATTTGAAAAAAAAAAAATAGCCTGACTGATATCGCGTAAACTTCACGCTGAATTCAAATCGCCTATAAGAATTTATATCGCTTCGCTACATTGGTCGGACTGAAAGCCGGAAAATTGGTTCAAATTGCTGTGCCGAATAATACGCGGAGTGTTGGACGAAGAAAGAAATTAGCGCTGTCCCAAGGATGTCATCGTGTCATTTCCGCGGGTAGAACTGACCCCAGTTTTATTTCGATACCGTTTTCTGGATTTCCACGACTCTGCAGTATACCTACTTTGTCGTCATTGAATTTTCTATACCCCTTTTTTCCCGGGTTACTACTTTCCGGCCGTTCATGGAACATTACACGCGTCCCTTTTGATACCCATGGTCGGAACCCACAATACATTTTTAATATTATCAAAAACGAACCGTTATTATTATATTATTGTTCTGATGCAGACAAACAATAATAATAGATAAACATACAATAGGTAGGTATGGAAAATCATTATAATTTCATGACTTTCTTATCGTTCTTGTTTGAGTAGCTGGCACATTGTATATAAAATGCAACAACTGTAATGGTTCATAAGGTGAAAGGAAAATTAATTTTGTTTACAAAATTCCATTACCCACGTAAATCAATGACGTATTATTGCGTCACAACCGATTTTTCGCGTTAATTTTGTTATCGTCCACAGTTGTTATTCGTATTATTATTTGTACTATTATTTGTGTAACTTGTACTTTAAGTACTTACGGTAAATTGCTCTTGGACCGTGCAAGAATGCTCAAACTGGAGAATGGCGGATAAGACACAATCGGAAACTCCGGGATCCTTTTTAACATCGAAAAAACGATTTTAACGAGGCAGATGAAGTGGGCAGGAGAAAGGACTGTAACGAAAAGCGACCGATAGAAAGATTTCGCTTAAGACGGAAAAATAATTGTGCAATTATTTATAGGAATGTAGGAACCTGCAGGAGTACAACGGAGCGAGGCAGAAAAACAGACGGATGAGTAGGATGACTAATCGTAATGGCGCCGTTATCCCTTGTATGTATACATACCTATTACCTACTCTAAAAAAAAAAAAAACGAACGGACATACTTTGAATCACGGGTGGGCCACTGTTGTAGGGGAGAAGTCAGGGTGGTAGGATATATAGAGAGGAATTCAATTCGTATCTGTATTCAACGATTAATCATTGATAACGAAAAACAATTCTGAGTGTAACTTGGTCAATAGTATTGCTTTTGCAACCATGTGCGTTTTTACGACAACAGCGATTGTTTAAAAAATATTAAAATATATAAAAACTGAATAATAACAAAACAATAAATAAAAACGGTTTAATTTAAAAAACCAGTGTTTCTTCATTATTTCGAACGTAACCGAAAATTTCAAAAAATTCCTTTTTTTTTTTTTTTTTTTAAAGCACCAACTAGAGCCGAAATGCAACAAAAAAAAAAGGTCTCGCGTCATGTTTTGACCGAAACGTTTACGATATCGTTTACGTACAGCAAGATAAAAAAAAAAAAAAAATCATAGTAAAACCTATAGATCCCCCGCTCCATTCGGAATCAAAAACAACGTACGAAAATTGTTTAGGCGGGTTTGTTTATACTGGCATTTGATTCTCGCATTCCGGAGCCGGGCGAAAATTCGAATCTTCCATTACGACGTCCGTTACGATATTAATTAATTTTCGGTCGAGGTTGCGACTAATTGATGTGCACTGTAGGGGGGTTTTGGACGGGGACGGGGTACTTTACACGCGCATAATCGTACGCCCGTACCAAACCGGGCGACCGTTGAGCCGCGACGCACGCCGGCTATAATACGGCAATACGCGCGGAGGCTATCGCATCGCGTACGAGATGCCCAGCGGTTCGTACCCGGGTTACCCCGCGTATACCGGATAGTGTGTGTGTGTGTGTGTGTGTGTCGAGCGTAACGTATAATAATAATAATAATAATAATAATAATAATGATGGTAAAAGTGAAGAAAAGAATGGGTATATAAAACGTGCCGGGTAATAATGGACCGAGAAAATAACACACACACACACACACACTGACGCGACCGCGCGCGCGGTATCGTTTCAAAGAGCTCGCGCGCGGGGCCCGGAACAGCGAGCGGCCGGTCCGTACGTACGACGGCGGCGGGCATTCCGTGACTACGGGCCCCAAGGATGAGCGAGTGTGTCATGCCATACTAGGCGGTCGCCTTGCCGATGTGCCGACGCCACCGCCGCCGCCGCCGCCGCCGCGCCGTCGCCACACTGCCGCAGTCGTCGCGCCGCGAGTCGCAACGGCAGTCGCTCGTCAACATTCGAACGTGTACGACACGCGTTCCCGTTCCGGCGCACGAACCTCGTCCCGCGTCACGTTTACGATCGCGTTTTTGATTGTTCTTATTTTTAATAATTATGCGGTTTGTCGCACGCCGGATTTTTTATTTTCCTAGACCGTGGTTTTTTTCCGTGTATATTAAAATTTAATTATTTTCAGTTTTTGTGTTTTTTTTTTTTTTTTTTTTTTTTTAAATTTACCCATCACAGTGGTTTTTTTTTCCCCCGCACGAAACGAGCCTATTGACTAACCGGCTCAGTGTCGTTCGACGTCGTGTCGGGCGTAACGCAAACACCGGCATAATAGTATTATCACATATTTATCTATTTGCTCAATGGGACTCTCCAAGAAAATGGAATGGCTCAAATGGATACGGAAATATTCCACAGGTAAACGCGTGTTATTATTGTACCGTACGGTACCTACCTACAGTAATAATTGCACTGTAGTAACGGTTTACGAAAATCGCGTGGGATTTCCGTTCGCGGACGGCGGCGAACCCTCGAAAACTATCATAATTTTCATTATTATTATTACAACGTACTGTTGTACCCGCGCTCGTTAAGTACGCGTTTTTACGACTGTCGTTTTTAACGGTCGTACCCGCCGGCCGTGTCTGCCGTCCAGCTGCGTTTATTATCTCTCGCCGGAGACTACTACGGGCGGGACACACGCTGAACATTTTTGTTTTCTATAATGTACACCTAACGGGACGCGCGCGATCGTCCCACGGGGTCTCCGGCGAAACGCTCGTCCGACGGCGGCCGCGTTTCGACGATAATAACAACAACAATATTAATACTTATCATCATTATTATTACCCGGGTATCCTAGAGATGTTTTTCTGTACTCATCACCGTATACGTATTATTTGTGAGTGTATGTGTGTGTGTGTGTAGTTACTAGGCTTATTATATTTGGCGCGCACGATTGTTGTGACACGCAATCGCCGCGAACGATCGGCGGCAAATTGCCGTCGTGGGTCGATGAACCAGCGTGTCGGAGCGCGGAAGATTCGATGCGTGCAGCGGCGACCGTGGCGTGGCGGCAAAACGACGAAGAGACAAAAGCCCGTAAATCGCACCGGTATAATTACACGCGTTACGTGGTGTTTTTTTTCCCCATTCTGCTCTCTTTTTCCAAATACCGCCGCCCGCCCGTCGTATGATTCACGATCGCGCGCGGCGACTGCGGCGCGTAAACGCGTCGCGTCGGGAATTTTTATCCGCGGCGCGGTCCGTTTCGATCTTCGATCCGGACCGTAAATAGTAACGGGGATCGGATAGCGGATAGACGAGCGGCGCAATATACCTTTGAACCGGAGGGTGGTGTATCATTAACGGAAATCAGTGCAGGCAACAAATTTTTGGTAATCTCGGTAATCGTTGCGTGAATCACGGTACTCCGGAATCCGGCGCACACATTACTGTTCATAAGTGATTTACCCTCCGCCGGTTCGGACGGTCGACCGACCGCTCGAAGACGGGAGATCGCGTCGGGGCGATAGTTCGGCCGGCTAGTTAACGATACGTCTACGGTCCAGACGTACGAAATCGTAAATCGGTTCCGTCCCGCGATTCCGTTGTTACGCGGCGGCATTATAATAAACGGCAGCGGGCAAGTGGCGGCGGGATGGGGGTGAGGGGGGTGTGGTGATTGGTGGCGTGTACATGGGCGCGCGCGAGCGTCGTTCTTTTGTAACGTACGGACCGTGCGGCGGTTGTATGCGACGACGACGACGACGAGAGGGGGTGATTCACGACGGCCGGGCTCGAGAGAGAGATATTCGGAGGGACGGGACGTGGACGGTGACACGGCGGGTGAGCGGGCGGGAGAGACGGACGGATATCGATGCACGGCCTATGGCGAGAGGGTGAAAAGAACGGGGGTGGAGGTAGATGAGGCGGCACATACACAAAACACGGACCTGCGGTTTTTTTTTTTTTCTCCTCGCGCGTAAAAGAATTCCAAGGGTCCCGCGCGTTTCCTTGGAAATTGGATTTTTTTTTTTTTTTTATACACATATATATACATATATATATTATATTTTATTATTATATTCTACCCGCCCAACAAAACAACAACGGCGGCGGCGGCGACAACGACAATATATATTATTATGTTTTTCGTCGTACGTTCTCCGCGGGGCCGGCAAGAGAAGTATCCAGCTGGCCCGGGCCATTGTGTAACTCGCGCGCACCGCGGGTCTCCCGTGCGTATCGGCGTCGGCGGCGGCGGGCCCCTGCGAGCGGATCGCGCGCGCACAATACAATAATATACGGAGAAAAGTAAAACACGGAATGTTTGTGGGTGGTGCGCGTCGCGGGTTCCCTTGTATTTCATATACGTGTACGTACTGCGGCGGCAACGCGCCCGACCCACGCCTTTTTGTTTACACGTTTTTACATTACACGGCGAGTATTATGATAACAATAATAATAATAATATGTATTGCCGTATACGTCGCGCGTAAACGCCCTTTGTACTCGCGTGTCTCTCCCACCCTCCCTTCGCGCCGGAAGTCCGTAGCGCGCTTACGTATTGCCCCCCCCTCCGCCCCTACGGTGTTTTAACGAAAATTCCCCGGCGGAGCACGCGGAAAAATTGCATAAAACCCGTTGCACCCGTCCGTCGCACTTGTTTGTACCGTGTAGCGCAACGCGCGTGCAGCGTAATACGTGCTGCGCGCGGACAGGACGTATTATTACAATAATAATATAGACGGGTAACGCGATGCGGAATACGCCGGTCGAACTTCGCGGAACTCCTCCGCGTACTCTCCGTGCGTAAGGCCGGCGCGGTACGGTTTTTATCTGCCGACATTCCGAGAACCGACCCAATAAACAACATTGCAACGGTCATCATCGTCGTCGTCGTCGTCGTCTCTGTGGTACGACGCCGCGCCGAGCCAGTTATTCCATGCTCGAGTAACCGATACGATGTTCCGACGACAATAAAATATAACGACGGCGGCGGCGACGCCCGTGCCGGGGAGGAGCGGCGGCGATCGTCGTCGCGAGTTCCCGAAATCGGCGGGCCGGACCCTTTTCGTTGTTTTTGCCGTCGCGCCGCATTCCTCCGCGCGTCGAACGACCTTTACAATCGCGCGTACCCGTACACGCACACGCACGCACATAATATCGTAACAATATTCCCGGTATTGCGTGCGCGCGGTGTGTTTGCGGATATCGATAATAATAATTATACGCGTGTTTTGTTACGAGTTCAAGGACGTGGTAGGAATGAAAAAAAAAAAAAAAAAATGTGTTCCGACGCCATTATAATATATTATTATTATTATTGTGTTATGTACGAGCGCGCGGGCCCGCGCCGTTGTTTCCATCTCCGCGCGCCGGTGTTTATGTTCTTCGGGCGGCCCGCGTAAACGCTGCACGTGTCCCGGACAACGACGGCGGCTCGCGGTGATCGGTCAGCGCTAAAATTATAATCGCTACCGTGTTTACGCGCGCGGTCGCCCTCCCCGGCGCGCACCGTCCGCCGCCCCTCCCTCCGTACATAACCTAAAACGTTCTGACCGTGGTCGCGGCACACACCGGTGTCGTGGACCGGTGAGCGGGAGGGGAGGGTGGAGGAGGCAGAACGGGGAATTATCATTCTCGGTATAAACACGATCCGCGCCGGGGCTTCTCGCCGCAGTCGTTATCGGCCCCGCCGCGAAAGCGCGACATCAAAGTAATCGCCGTACGAAAACGGGCGGGCGAGCGCGCGCGCCCGCGTATTGTACGGAGTCACGAGTTTTTTTTTTTTTTTATAATAGGTTTTATCGTTTTAATATTTTTTTATTTTTTTTTTCCCTTCTACATAATCCGTCGTCGTCGGCACAAACGAAATGTTTTATTATTTATTATTATAATACTCTCCGATCCGCGCTATATACGCGGCGCGGGCAACCCGCTCCGGGTGGATCGACGGCGGCGGCGGCGGCGGTGTTAAGTCCGCGGCGAGCCGGGTTTTTATCCAGAAAAACGTATACAGAAGAAGAAATGTATATAATATAAAATAATGACGCGTCATGTGTTATGCGTGCGCTCCAATATAATAATAATAATAATAATAATAATATACGCGAGTAGGGGGAAAAAAATAAATTGTATATGTATAAGGAAAGGAGGAAAAAAAAAAGAAAGAATATTACCGACCGGCCGGCCGGCGACTAATGTTATGTCGGCGGCTCCGCCTTGTCGGTACTCTTTGTAGCCAAGAGTCAAGGCCAAGATTATATATCTCAACCAAGGATCTCCTCTCTGTGAAACGCTGTTGCCGCGCATATGTTGTTTCGTCTCGCTCGCTCTCCCGCGGCTCCTCTCGTCCCGACCGTTCTCTTTTATCGTCGTGTATAATATTATACGTATATAGGTATACGCGGCTGCACACGCACCACTGCCGTCACCACCGCCGCCGCAGCCGCCGCCGCCGCGTTCGGTCCGTTGCCCGCAGATGATCGCCGTCGTCGTCGTCGTTCCCGCCAGCCCTCCCGGACACCCGCCACGACAATACGTAACATATTGTGTTTTGTTTTATGCGCCCACGAACTACGGAAATTATTTATCTACCGAGTCCCTGGAAATCCCGTTGCGAAAACGGGGACGGATGATAACGAATATTACCGAATCGTGTTGTTCTCCGCGGCGCGGCCGAATCGCTCCGCGCGAATGAAGGACGAGGACGCGGCGTTTTCGTACGCGCGGGATCGACCCGTGTGCCCAAAACGTCGCGCTTTCCACACTCGCGGGATAACGGCACCGGCCACTTTTAACAACAAACGACACCGACGAAATACGTACGAGTAGGAAAATATCGCGCCGCACTCGTCGTCCGTCGTAAATTAGCCGAGTCGGCGTAGAGTAGTGGAAAAAAAAAAATTACACGTATAATAATATTCTAGTTTATGTGCGTCTATTGTTCTGTTATGTTTTTATTCGGTGGAAAATGATGCGCGCGCGCGCGCCGGTGCGTGTGTGTGTGTGTGTGCGTGCGTGATGCGAGTTGAATCGGCGGTGGTGGCTGAGGGGGAGAAGACGGACGGTGGACGGACGGTCGGACGGATGGATGGATGTGCTCGGCGGTACGTATCAAACGTTCGCCGCTCTCACCTCCTCCGGTCTACGTCGCCGACAACCGAAACCGGTTTCGTTTCCTCGACCGCGCGCGCGCGCGTGTGTATGTGTGTGTTGTTGTCGGGCGGCCGTTCGTTTGTGCGTTTTCTGTATTAACGCCGCCGCCTAGGCACTCTCTCTCTCTCTCTCTCTCTCTCTCTCTCTTGCCCGTTTCCCTTCTCCCCGACGGCCTATATAGGGCGGCGGCGTACGCGTACCACCGCCGCCGGCACTCCTATTATTTTGACCGTGTGCGCGCTGCGCTTACGGCTCACAAATCCTCGTACACCCGACGACGACGACGACGACGACAACGTCGGGTGTCAAACCCGAAGTGATTTTTCGAGACGAATATTATTGTACACTTAACAGTAATAATAATACGAGTATCGCGGGTGTAACGCACCGTAAATAATACGCTCGCGTCCGATTGATAAGAATAGGAGAGGAGAGGAAAAAATGACTGCGTTTCGGGCGCAGTCTTCGGGGACCTCATTGAGAAAAAAAAATAATAATAAAAAAGCGATACACATACGTCGTACAATAATAATATACGCTCATTAAAGTCGTATTGTTCGTGCACGACGTCCGCCGCCGACGCCAACGCCCCCTCCCCTGCCCTGCCCTGCCCTCCCCTCATCTCCCCGATACCCAACACCGTAGAATATTATTTTATTACTGCACACACCGCGCCGCAGCACGCGCATAGGTCTCGGATGATAATAATAATAGTAGACCGAAACTGGTTCTAACCCTATTATTTTCTCCTCCTCACCACCCCTCTCCCCCCCCCATCCGGGCCGGGGCCCCGGCCCCTCCCGTCTCGCGGAGAGTATAATAATATTACATACCTATACCGTCACAATACCGCGGAATTATTATAATATTATTATTATTATTATTATATAGGGAAACGAACTGTAAAACAAAAGCGTATATTTTATTATTATTATTATTATTATTATTACGACATGGCGTAGGTATACCTAACCTATAATTCGTGGCACCGCGCGCCGCAGAGTGTTTTGACCGCATCCCCGACGGGGCCCGGGTCGTGTGCACCTACCTCTAATATACGCGACCGCATTGGATAGCGGTTGTTTATCATATTATACTATAATATATTTTTAAATTAAAATCGAGAGGAGAAAAAACAAAACCGCTCGCGCAAGTAAATTCGTAGATTATGTTAATGCGCGGTCTCTAAGTGGATTTTAATTGACATTATTTTTTTTTTTTTAATTTTCCCCCTCGTCTCTTTCGCGCAGGCATTCTGGACACGAAAACCAGCAGTAGCATGGAAACGTTAATTGATTCGGCCAGCCAGAAAACCATCAATTACGGGTATACCTCTTCGGTAATTGCGGCCGACGATGAATTCATTAACGCCACGGCCGCCGCACCCCCACACCGCCGGCAGCATCAGAAGCAACAGGAGCAGCAGCAGAAGCAACAGCGACCGATGTTGCCTCCGCCGGCGTCGGCGACTTCACAAGATCCATCGCCCGCTAACGACGTGAGCTTTTATCCTAAATACCTACCCGTTAATATTGCGTATAATATTCTTCTGGAAATCCGTTATTGTAATATTACAATTATGTGTTGTTGCGTGTGTATAGCGTAGTAACCGCGGTGACCGTGTTTTTCCCTTTTAAGTCGGAAACGGTCGTCGTAACGAGGAAATACAAAAAAATGAACCGGGCACGGTCGCCGTTATAAATTGGAAGTCGTGAAGATATTCTCTAGGATACATAGTTTTTTTTTTTTTTTTCTTTATCCGTATACGCAACGATAAATCATTGTTGGCGGTTCTACGCGGAAGATTCTGTTGTACAAATTCGGTTTCGAAATGTCGTAATTTTTACGATTTTCGTAAAAAATTTGAACTCGAAATGCTTATTAAAAAAATAACTACTACGTTATGCTCAACTTTTTTATACCGGCCACTAAGTGCAACTTATAATGAACCTCCCATTGATTTTGCTAGAATTTCTGTCCGGCCAAAATCATTTTATCCATTTAAAATCAAATTAAACCTTTAAAAACTGATACATGTCAAACGCCTATAAATAATTCAAAAACAGTCATAATGTTTTGAAAAATTCATCACGTCAAACTCAAATTCTAGAAATCACGACATTTCGCGTGCTATTTTCCGATTTATGTAGATAAAATTGTCTTGGTCCAGTAAATATGCTCAAAAATTGAACATTGGGTTATGTTGAACTGGCGATAAAATAAAATAAAGTTAACCGCAATGTATTAGTTTTTTTTTTTTTTTTTTCAATAAGCTATTCAAGTTTGAATCATGGTAAAAACCGTGGGATTCTGCACGCGCTTTGCTCAGAATCGGTTTTTCGTTGGCAATAATAATAATTCATCGTCGCGTGTAGTAGAAACGACAATTACATAATTCATTTCTATCTCACCGACAACGGTGCAGGCGCACCACCCGTCGGCAGTACGAGATGCTTTTTTTTTTCGCACACGATCTCCGATTGGCGGCGACCCAGCGCTGTCTTGGTCATCCTCCCGCGAGTGCGATACCGTGCCGTAAGATATTATGTAAAACCAATTTGATAAAACATCGTTATTGTTCGCCGTATAACGGCCGGGTATATAGGAACGACGACGGGGGGGGGGGGCTCGTCTTCGTTGCCGCCGCCCCGTGGTTGTGTAACCGCGTGTAACGATACGTTTACGCTATTTTAATACCGTCGATTCGCGACCCGCGGTTTACTCGGCGTGAAGTAACGAATTTCCGACGGCGTACCTATTAAACAATATCACATTATTGTAATTTAATTGCGCCGACCGTAACCTGCGAAATTTACCATGTATTATGCACACAGGTGTACGATTGCTGCGTCTCGCTGGACGGGATACCGGTGCGTCACGAGTTTCAGTACACCCTGTCCGACGCGGACGGATGCGGCACAGTCACCAAACACGTAAGTCAATTACATTATATTCGTCAGTCCGTTTTTTTTTTTTTTTTTTTTTTTTTCAATCGCATTTAACTGTCGATGCTCGGTCGGGGCACTCATAGGTATTATTATTCCATCGACTAGGTACCGACTAAAATCCAGATTTTCGTCAATAACGCCAGGTTTTTTTTCTCGGGTCCGGGTATTTCCCCACCCCCCCGCGATTCTGTTACACGGTTACAGTGTATAACCGATTAGGGCCTACTCTGCGTGTAATACAATACGTCATCGTGCTCAATACGGAATCCGTTGTGTGCGACCCGAAATAAGTCTTAACGATTATTTACAGCGCTCGAAAAAAAAAAAAAAAAAAAACAAAACAAACCAATTTTCCCGATGACACAAATTTATTAATAAATATCGGAGCGTTGACAACGTTTTAGCGCGGACGGCGGATTTCCAACGGTTTTCGTCGTCGGTTTATCAGTGGTTTTTTGTCCGCAGCTTGGCCCGGGGGAAAAATGCGTACACGCAAAATGACAAAAGACAGGCCCCAGACTGTTAATGTCCGTATGTATGGAATACCGCCGCGCGCGCTACATTATCGTACCGCCGGCACGTGTCTGTATGAATTTCGTTTTTTCCCGTCGTTGCTGTCCGCGGTGAAATAATAAACACATTATAACGTCGCGTATACGACCGCCTCGCCCGCCGAGTCAAACGAACTAAATGGAACGCATTTAAAAATAACAAATTGCTCTCCCTCTGATGTTTGGCAACGCCATCAAAGTGCTGTGCAGTCCCCGCGTATGAAACCGTCTGTGAAACTTCTCCGCGTACTTTATTACATAGGCGCGACAACAACGGGATCTCTTTGTCGCCGCTGCAGCGCGTATTATATTATGTTCCGCGTCGCCTTTGATGTTCCAATTAAGACGCATTTCACTGGTTCACAGACACATTGTCAGTTAATAGAACCGCCGCGCCGCGTATAAAATATCGTTTCTACGAAATCCCGCGGTGCACTCGGGCCGGGCGAACCGCCAAGTCCATTATTATTTGTTTCCCCCCCCCCGTTTTCGACGCAACACGAGTGTTATTATACATAAATTAATCGTCGCGCTCGCGTTTTTGTGTACTGCAGGACATCGAGGGATTGGCGTCGAAAATCCTAGAGTCCGTGTACGAGACGACGTTGAAGTTCTCGTCCCGGGGACAGCGGACCGTAAAGGTGACGCTGAACGTCAGGCAGACCGCGTCGCCGCAGCCCGTGGCCGGCGCGGCGCCCGTCAAGCAGCTGCAGCGGATCGTCGGCGGCCGCGGGTCGTTCAAGCAGAACTACTACGGCAGGACGTCCGTCGACAGAACGTTGCCGCAGTACGTGGGCGGCGGCGGCGAACTCCAGCCCGCGGCCCGATGTCCGATCTACGGCGTCGTCAAGGGCGGATCGTCGTCGCACCACATCAGGACCAAGTACAGGCGCGAACAACTGATCGAGATGGTACAAAGGAGTCTGGCGGAAAACTTGAGTTTCCAGAACCAAAGGTAATTATTACCGCAGCGGCGTTTCTCCGGGTTTTTGCGGGTCGTCCGCGTGGTTAAATCCGGCATTTTTCCGCGGTAATACTAAAATAAGTGTCGTTATAGACATTTCCGGAAACTATAATGATGTACACCATCGCCGTACGGAGAATCCGACGATGGTTTCGGACGCATCGGCGAACTGCGCTAGTGATGGCCCTGGGCGTCGTATAGGGGAGCAGGCGCTCGTGGGACTGCCCATCCGTGGCATTCGTAAAAACCTGGCGCCTATGGCACAGTTACTGTCGAACGGACTGTTCGAAAGTCGGCCGCGTCCGAATTACCTATTGTCCGAAAGATAAAAAAAATTCAAAATAGATTTTTATCGATACTGTAATAACTATACGGCAGTGCCGCGGCTGAATGCTAATAGGTCTTTTCTTTTTATTCGTATTTTTCCTCCCTCGGTTCCCACAGAAATCGGAACGTGTATTATCTTCGGGGTTTTCGGCGAACCGTTTCCGGTGGGTAGGGGTGGGGGACGTGTACGCGAATACGCGAACATGACGTACACGACGAAAACTTTCCGCGCGATCTGGGGGGGAGGGGGTGGCGGAGGAGAGGCCGTTCGTTTCGCGTTCTCGTAAAAATGTTATTATCGCGTCGTCCTTATCTCGTCGTACGCTCGCAGGTTCACGTCGGACTGCACACGTGAACGTGCCGCGGGCTGCGGTGCGCGAGCGTAACACGTCCGCGGCGGCGTGGCGTACCGCCGGCCAATAAATCAAACGGGCCGCGGCGAGAGATCCGCGTGGTTATTGCCCCGCGCGCACGCGATAATAAACCTCTCGGCGGCGGCGCTAATAAAGGAAAAGATAAAAAAAAAAAAAAAAAGCAATAATAATAAACTTAACGTCGCCGGTCGCCGTCTCTACCGTTTCTCGTGTATACAGTTATAATGCGTGTTCGCGAGGCCGACCGGTGCCCGGGACCCGTTGGTCGTGTCGTGCGCCGCGTACACCTGTGTGCGTTGCGTTATTACGTTTGTTGTACGCGCGTGATTTGCGCGCGGTTAAGACGGCGAAAAAAGAATTCCGGTTGCTGCTGCTGCTGCTGCTGTTCCCTCCGAAAATACACATTTTATTAAACACGCGCGTTAAAAGCGCAAATCGCCCGTGACAACCGTGAAATCCGGACGCGCGCGCGCGCGAATGTGTGTAGGGTCGTTTTTACGACTCCGCGGCCGTAGAAAGCAACGCCGCGTCAAACCGTCGTGAAAAAGAACAAAAAAAAGCGGTCAGCCCGATATTGACCGGTTAAACTCGTACTGATGACCCCCCCCCCCCCCCCCCCNGGGGGGGGGGGGGGGGGGGGGGTTCTCTAAATATTTTCTAGAAAAATCTTGCGGGATTTTGTAAAACGTTTCTGCAAAACAAAAAACGCCGCCGGGCGTGAAATTCGTGTTTGTTTTTTTTTTTTTTCCGAGTTACGATGTGAAAGTTTTAAAACACATTTACTTGTCGAAAAATCGACGACTATAGTGTCTAATTCGCTCGTGTAATTTATTTGAGCGTCTCCGGCGGGGCGAACAGGGTAGCGTGACGACCGGCATGCTTGTCTCCCGGCGATATCGGCATGGCGTCGTCTGAATGCGTCCACGTGACGCAATCTCTTCGGACGACTACTGCGGAGGTTTTTTTGTGTATGCCCGCGCGAGGTACTTCCGTCTAAAAATATAATATAATTATTACTAGGGCAGAAGACATTAGCTCTAGAAAGAAAAAAAAAACACGAAATATGTAAGCACCACTTGTGCACTTAAAAACCCTAAAATAAGAAAAGAAAAACATTTTCCCCGTACGTAATTTAATTGTACGCCACACCGCGGCCAAGTGAATAAAAACGATTTTTCGTCTCGACGAAACTTTTATTTTTACCCTTGTTGATTAAATTAAGTATAGACATTAGTATACGTTCCATAAGTTAATTCGATCGATCATTAATTGTATTTAATTTCGACATTTCGTTTTCTGACACTAAGATTTAATTAACATTTTTAACATGATAATTTATAATTGTGTCAACGGCCATCGTTTCGATAAATGTTATTTTTAAGGAAATCGCGAAGAAAAGCTCGAAAGAGCCTCCAAAAGACATTAAAAAAAAACCCACAAATGTCTCAGAAAACAAAAAGACTAAAATATGCGACATACAATTATAGAATTGGCTTTGTTGTACAATATATACGAAACAAATTTATTTCAACTTGGCTTTTTTTTTTTTTATTATTATTATTCTATCTGAGGACTGCGCAAATGCCGAAAGTGTTCTCTGCCCTAAAACGTATTACGGTTGAACAATAATCGTGTATAAACGCGAAATGACTTTATCGTCTGAGCATTTCTCGTATAGTCGTTATTTTATTGTTGCATTTATTTAACGCCGCCGGTCCGTGTTCGCAGGAAACCCAGCAAGCCGGAAACCATTTACCACCGGCCGCGCACGAAGCGCCGTCAGTCTTCGGGCGGCGGCTCGGCCAATCCGCCGTCGTCGCCTGCGACGCCGGCGAAACCGGTGGTCAGGACTCCGGCGAAAGTGGGATGGAGCCCGTACGACTTCGAACCGGTCGCTCACATCCCGTCGTCATATCATCCCCATCACCAGCAACAGCAACAGCACTACCACCAACAACGGCAACAGCACTACCTAAACGCCGCCAGGCGCCAACAATATCAGCACCAGCAGCAACAGCACCAGCAACAACAGCAGCAGCAGCAGCAGCTGTTGTACGGCGGCAAGCAGCAGACGTCCGCGACGCAGGCCGCCGCCGGCGGCAGACCGCATCACCAGCAACAGCGATCCGCCAAGAAGATTCACCATCACATACACGAACACCATCATTACCATCACTACGAGCATTACATCGTTTAGAGATAATACGCACGTGATACGGAACATCGGCAAAACCATATACGGAATGGTCGAACTTTTTTTTATTTTATTATTATTATATTTTTTTTTTTTGCTATTTCCTTTTCGTTATCATATGCGTCCCGGTGTATCGTCGGCGTATCGCCTATTATTTATTATTATTATTATTATCATTATTATTTTTAAACGCATTTGTTCAACGGTCGCCTTTATTTAGGATTTCGATATTAATGTCTGCGAAGTTTGATTGATTTTTTTTTTTTTTTTTTTTAATATCGTACCCGTCCATTAGCCAGCCCCCGTCGATCACGAGAAATCAAAATTCCATTCGACACGTATATTCGGCTTACGTTTTTATTTTATTTTTTATTTTTTTATTATTTTTTTTTTTTTTCCGAAATTCCCAAACCTCTCTCCCATTACCATCCCCACCACCATCAAACGTATTTAACTAACGTCATAATATTATAATCAAACTTTGAGCCATATAATAATATAATTATCTGAAGTATTTGTGTGAATGTGTTTGTGACATGAGCCCCAGTTCCTTTTTTTTTTTTTTTTTTTTTTTTATACTATTATGTATTGTATTTATTATTATTTTTATTATTATTATTATTACTATTATTATTTTTCCATCATTATAATAAAAAAAGCCTCTTAATAATATTGTAAAAACCGCGTTACGCGTATTACGAATGTATTACATGGACATTATTTATTTAATTTTTATTATTTACCTACTATATAATATATTACTACGGCGTTAAAATATATCATTGTAATATGTATTCAAAACAATGTTTATTGAAATATTTTAGTAAATAACGCATTAATCATTATTATTATTTTTAAACAAATTCCTCATGACACAAAATGGTTTTTTTTTTTTTTTTAATGTTACTATTTTTTTTTTTCTATGTATAAACAATAATTTGTTGTATTATGAGATGCTCAAAAAAAAAAAAAAAAAAAAAAAAATGCACATATAAATCTAAATTATATTATAATTTTTTTTCACGAAATATTGTATATCATAAATACATCATCATGATGTTTGTGTATGTATGTGTAATGACGTTTGGCCTTGCACAACAATAGTATATGAATTAATCTCGTCTTCCACATGACTATTAAATGTATAAAATAAATATTAAATATATTTACTATTTGAATTTTAAGTAAAATAAATAATAAAATAAAATATTGTTTATTTTTTTTTTTTAAAAATAAAAACAACCAATCAGTGTTAAACCGGAGGTATATTATTATATACACAGGTACTGTTGTGGATGAAGCAGAGTATGCAGATGCTTCCTCTGCAGACTGTTGCTCTCCCTATTAATTTATACATCTTGGCAAGGTGGCTATGTTAATGAAAATAATTAAATAGTTAGATATGTACATAAAAATGAAATAGTTAATATAAGAAAAATTTAATTAGTTGAGCTAAAAGTGAAAACACAAAAATATATAAACTTTACTCAGTTATAAAAGAATGAAATTATTATTGTTATTATTATTTTTTTTTTTTTGCTACTAAAAATCAATGTTGAAAGTATTCAATTTGGGGGACCTAATAAAACTATTAACCTTTTTATATTTTTTCATACAATTATATACCTACTATTGATAGGTATGTAAGTATAATTATGCTACAAACAACATAAAATTATACATAACATCATATTATATATTAATTAATAAATATACAAATTACATTTTCTAACTTGATTATTAATTATACTAAAGACATTTTTGGTTGATTTTATTTAACGTAACATGCTAATAATCTGACACGTGATGTAAATGATAAAATTCCATAAATAGATATTGTATTACGTATACGGTACTGGTAAAACATAAAAGCAGTGAAACAAATTGCCATATTTCATTGCATGCCTACTGTAATAACCTGACCGCCATGTTCTAAATCGTAATACTGAGAATATCCGATTAAACTAGTGAACGGCAAAAAAAGTTAAAACAAAATTAACTTTTTAATTAACTAAATATGCCCAACTATGGGTCTACATATTATTAAAGGTAATCTTCATAGCCTAGCCATTAATACACACGAGTATGGTCAAAACCAGTGGCGTTCAGACAATTTTCATACTTTAGGCAAAACGACAAATTAGGACCCGTCCAATCAACACTTAGATTTTTGTGGATGTCCTACAAATAATTACAGCAACAACTTCATTTAGCTATAATCTATATTGACTACATAATATAGGGTATCATATAAGTAAGTTTATTAATAATGTATTACACAAAATTAAAGGCATTTCTGATCTCTAAACTAGTCAGTCACAATCAACATTCAAAATATTTGGTTACCAACCCATTTTAGTCATGAGGCAATCAAAAAAACATTCTTCAACACGCTACTAGTTAAAACAAATAGTAAAGTATTCGTAAGTAAGGTTAGGTTAGGTTAGTAGGTTACCTGGCGATACTATGATAAAAAAAAAAGAAGATAAATAGGTTATATTAGGAATCGCTAAATAAAAGGTACTCATAATCATGGTTTTTTTTTTTCATAATATATACTTTGGCTGTTTAGGGCTTTTACAAAGTGTTCAGTTTATTAGCGATCGTCATCCCTTTGACGGATAGCTATAATATTGTTTGCTTCCCTCGCCACAAAGGTTTAGTACCGCCTATTATTATATTATATATTGGTACTGTGCGAAATGGATAAAAGTCTGCATTACGTTCTAATGGCAAATTCCTAGATCGTGATTACACATTATAGATATGACACTAGAAAGCGCTCTCAAACCTTTCTTTTATCTACATACGAGTATACTCGTAATTTCAGCAGACACCATTGATTCAACGATACTTTGAAACTTTTTCTCTCGCTCGTTTATTTTAAAGTCCCTTCCCTTCGTTTTAGATACGTCATTAAACACTTCATTATTCCTCATTATACACCAGTACACAACTTCCTGTTGAAAATGAGCCTTTTAATCGTCATACAAAACTATTATAGCCAGTGGTGACCCATGTGCACTGAGAATTGTGCAACTGCTCTGGTAGCTGTGTGAATAAGTGGGTTATTTAAGATATTTTGTGTATTAAAATTGAATACGAGTTATCAAAATGGATTAGTCTAATAAATCGGAAACTAATAAATAGTTATAATTGATTCTGTACTATAATATACGGTTTAATAATACTAATAATTTTAACGTTTAAAATCACATCGCATTGCAAAAACGGAGATGATAATAATAATATATTAAAATATAATATAATAATATTATAATTTATTTTCAAAATTAGTTCCTACACATACTGTAAACAATACAATACGGAACACTCCCCTGTAAGCCATGGATAAATAATCCATCCAGTGTTATAATAAAATCAGAACGATCGCGTTTATACTCTCCTCCGTTTATAAATATATGAACATATGCATAATGATGAAAACGCATAAGTATCTAAAGCCTAATAATAAAAAAATGCCATATAGTGACGGCCGTTCGTACAAAAATAACACTGAAGTAATTGCTGGCTAGAAATAATTCTGTAAGAAACACTGTTGGCCAATTAAATACATACACAAATCTTATGTTGTTTCGTGGATACGGTTGCCGGAAAAGTTAATTAGAGCCCGACAACCGATTAAATAATATCTTTGCGGTGCTTTTTTACAATTTCAGAAATTTTTTACCCATTCAATATTGGTACGCTTTTGAATTTTTTTTTCTCGGTGTGATTCAAACACGTTGCACGACGTATTTCCATTATACTAATTCAACCAATACAATACGACAATATTCGTACTTAAAATGGCATTGAACATGCTAATATTTGTCGGGAGTACGTCAATAATAACGTATGTACATCTTGACGGTTTTATGTTAACTATGGGCGAAAAGGCCGAACACCGTTCGGACGATCGTTTTAACAAGGTACACATGTATATCCGACCAATCGATTGATACAAAACAGTTTTTTTTTTGTTTGTAGTGAAATCCGTATTTTATGTGGGTATCTATGGTAATAGCATATAATGATGATTTGTCTAATAACCTAATTTTTTTTTTTTTTTTTTTTTTTTAAATGCCCTGGGGCTTTGTATGTAAGATATATCCTGTTAAACATATTTATAAAGACCATCAGGTCGTTTAAATAACCTAATTTAAAAACTTTTTTATTGCATGGACGAAACTGGGTGGGACAGTATGTTATAAAATATAAACATTAATTTTGTTTTTATTCGATTCCTCTTGGTTGTTGCACGTGGAAAAGAAACAGGAAGTTATATTTTTTGTCCGAGATAGTCTTCAAAATTACCGGCTCGATTCCTATCATAAGTACTTATACCTAGGATACATTTCTTTTTTTTTGACAATAATTTTACCGGAAAGATAATAAACGTCGAATTAAAATTTTAAACTTATAATAATTACTTTAGTATGTTAAAAAGTAATGTTCATATTATATATACGAGTTTTAAATTAAATTATAGAAATATTTTGCAAGTCGTTAGTGTGTTCGTTTTGTGCATTTCAACACGCTTTTGGCTTACAAACCGCAGACACATCTGCTAATCCGGTCGAAGATGTCAAGGTACTCTAGTATGCAAAGACTTTATGTGCTTTGACGACCGAAAACCTAAATTATTCGGAATATTTACAATACGACCCAACCGTAGATTATATTAGGAAATCGGTCGGCATAGTGAACGTGGTCGAAGACGTTAAAGTAGTTCAGTTTGCAGATACTTTGGGTGCTTTGACGACAGACGACCCAAATCATTCGGAATGTTTTCAATATATGCTACCTCAGAACCTAATAAGAGTACCATAACGAGATGGGAAAAATACACTACAGCTCTAATTCAAGTCCTTTTGAATTGTCTTGAAATTTAAGACACAGTAACAAGTACACGGAAAAAAATAATTTGTATATTGAAGGATATTGAACTTTTGAGTCTAACTATTGTTGATTTGACACTATACATTATTATTTTTACTTAAACATTTTCCGGAAATAAAAGTAAAACATCGTTTTCACAGATTTTTTATAAAAAGTAAATATATAAATCATAAAAATAACCTCGGTTTAATTTATTTTAAGTTGACAGACATTTAGTGCGTGCCACTATATCAACAAACTCCATCGAACGCAGTAAATTATGATCCTTTATGAGACGAAGCTAAATCGAGATTTTGTCGTGTGTTTAATTTGGCGGTTGAACAAACTGCAATTTTTAGATTCTGAGTGGAGCAAAGAAGCTTACGGTTTTACAAAGATGTTTATTTTTTTTTTTTTTAAACTGCGTACCACTTTTCAACCAGAAATCTTGCTTCGATATTTAAGTGTAGCGACTTAAATTAAAACTAAAAGAAATCGATTTCTGGTAGAAAAGTTGTGCATAGGTAAAAAAAAATAATCGTAATAGTTTACTAATATATATATATATGTATATAATGAACATTTCAATAATAATAATCAGCATACTTATAACTAATAAATAATTTTCCAATAAATGGGAAAAACCGGAAAAACCAGAAGAGAAACGGGAAATTGTATGAATATATAGAAATATATTTCGGCCTTTTTTTTCCCCTAGGAACATCATTTCTCACATTTGTCGAGTAAAATACTGGGAAAATCGATAAAAGGCTTCCCTAAAATACCTATCCAGTTAGATTTTCTTTCAGAAAAAAATATTATTGTAAATCGGATCAAGATTTTCGATTATATTATTTAAGAAAAAAAAAGCGGTGAATCACTGTGTATTGCTATACTATCCACTATAGATAATGATGAGATGACCATTTATCGTCGTTCGTTTAGATTGTACAAAAAATCAGTAATTTTGTATTATTAGCGATTTAATTTTTACACTCCGATTTCGAAGTTTTCTGTTGAAATAGTGGTCAAATTAACAGAAACAGATTACTTAATATTCTCCTGTCAGTCAGCTATTTATACTGAAAAAAGAAATTAAATATAAATGTTTTATAGTTTTATAATTCCGTTATAAAATCCTCAAAACTATAAATACGCCTTACGAGTCTTTCAAAATCCAAATTGCAAAACATTAAGGTTATACGAAAACGATTGAGTAGGTAGGTACATTTAAAAAACGGTTTTAAGTTATAGTTCGTATTAAATAGTTATTAGTTCTCAATATCGCGTGAAAAAAAACCCATTACAAGAAATATACACACGCATCAATTACTGCTCATAACCTGACCTAACCTAATCTCGAGTGAAAATCTACCACGTCTATGTTTACTGTTGATTATTTTATTTTTTCGTCGATGATGTATAATGTACAACTTTTTCGTTGTACATTTTTTATTTTATATTTCTCATGCCAATTTATACGAGAAAATTTCGATCACCGGATTTCGATATTCGATATTCGTATTCGTCGATTATTATTATCATTACTTTTTTGTCGTGTGCCTTTTAAAATAAAAGGTTTAACTGCGTTTCTGTATTGTGCGTATTATACTGCAATAATAACGATTATAGTCTATACACCGTGGGATTTCAGTCGCGTGTGTTGACTTTATGTTTAACCTCTTGTAGGAATTACGTACAGGTACTTTGAAAAATAAAATCAAGTGTTTGTCGATTAAAATATGACGTGTGAAAAAAATATACCTATATAATAACAAGTGGCGTCTGGTGGATTATGCGCCGGGCTAGTAAACCAGAGTAAACAACATGTCAGTCTTACGATTTATTTGAACATACGTATCATATACAGGTATTATACCCTATAATCTTATCTCATATATTAGTCCTTATCTTGCATATGGAAGTCTAAATAATATAAATAATAGAAAACGTTGTTTTTCGAGGAGCCACTCCTCCGAAAGCGCGGGTACGGGTGAATTTGTCTTGACGATCTATATGACACAACGGGTGACTAAATTCCAATTTTCGGGGGAGGCATTTGATGGTGGGGATGAAAGTTTGAGGCGATAATTTTGTTTCTATTGTGCGTAAGATGTACAGAAATTTATAACTACAGTAATTTTATACTAATTATAGTAATGTATGTAAACCTATACTGTATATTATTATTGGTATCGTAAATTACACAATCTCACTATGTACATCACAGTCAAAACTAAATTTAACAATTACATTCGTTTCGATTATAATATATACGAGTATATACAGTAAAATTACAAAATTACAAAATTAGTCTTAACGGTCAATATTTAATATGACCATCGTTATGCCTAATATTTACATTACACGGAGTCGTAATATATAATTATTAATTAGTAATTATATAACATAACAATAAAGATTATAATTTACAGATTTCACACGGGTATCAAAAAATATGTACGTACAGAAAATAAAAATGTATCATTTACACACGTATACATTATTTTAATATTTTTTGCACGTATTTTAAATTTTGATCGAGAGCGTCCGTTCATAAACCAAATCTCCCGGGGGGGGTTGTTTGAAGTTACGAAATTATACGCACTATACATTATTATTATAATACGAGTACAGTAGTCATAATATTATTGCCTACTGGATTTGTTCATTTAAAAAAAGCATATATGATTTTCTTTTACGTCGAATACGGAATAGTCATATTGTTGGTATGTGTCCCTCATCCCTGTCACAACCTCAGTGGCACGCGCGCGTGTCCATCATCACTAAAACAGCGTAAACATCGGTCGGACTGCAATAAGCGGACAACTAGGGGATTATCGTTATCAGTGCGGGCTTGGCTGTCTTTCGGGACCTGAAACCGTCGGTGATCTCGTTGAGGGTCTTGCCGGTAGTCTCGGGCAACAGGAACGCGCCGAACAGGGCGGTCGCGAAACACGACCCGGCACACATGGTCCACACGGCCCGAATGCCGAACGTGGCCACGAGCCACGGGTACACCTTGATGGAGCCGAACATGAGCTCGTAACCGCACGAATGGAGCACGCCGTTCATGGTGCCCTTGACAGCCATCGGGAAAATCTCGCCGCACACACTCCACGGCAACGGCAGCACCGCGAACATCGCGAAAAACACGTAGAGCAGGAACGCCCAAAGCAGCAGCCCCTCCGCGGCATCGCCGAAGAAAGTGCCGGTTGCACCGCCGCTGCCCGATGGACCGACCGTGTACATGTAACAGATGGCGACGGATAGCGCGACGCCCATGCCCATCCCCGATATGACGGTCAGCCAGCGCTTGGGCGCTGACTGGAACACCAGGTTGACAACGGTGCCGGTCAGCCGGGCGGCGCACAGGTACACGGTGGCCGTCATGCCGTCGACGGGCACGCGGCAGTCGCGCAACACGTCCACCGAGTAGAACAACAGCATGTAGAACCCGGTGGCCTGCTGGCAGCAGAAGAACGCGAGCGCAGCGGCCGCGGGTTTCCACACGGTGGGCTGGGCGTACACGGCCCAACGGTTCTGCACGCCAGCGGCGGCCGAACACGGCGACGCCGGGCCGTCGGCCGTGATCTGCGCTTCGGCGGCGGGCCCGTTGCAGCGCGGCGTTACCTCGAACCCGAACCAAAGTTCGGCACGGCGGGCCTCCTCTTCTCGGCCGCGGGACCGTAACCACATCGGCGTTGCCGGCACGAAGAACGGGGCGACGGACCCGACTAAGCACGTGACGGCGAACACGACGGACACGGTGCGCCAGTGGCACACAACTCCTAACGCTGCGGTCGTCATCAAGCCCAGGCCCACGTACAGTGTGAAGATCAACAGGTAGAACGGTCGGCTGTACGTCGGGCTCGTCTCAGCTATGTACACGTATATCACGCCGCCGGTACCTGTTGCACAGATCAGACGCGTTGACATCAGTAATCGGTATGGTATTTTATGATAAATTATTATACTATTCGCTCAGCGTTTAAAATCACATTTAAATGTGCTAGACGGCCGCGACACCACGCCAAACTTGGAAATTTAGATTGCCGAAATTGGAAATTCAACGATATTTACCATTTAACAGAGAAAAAAAAAAACCCGAAACACCACCCTGCGTATGCGTGCCCGCTATCGGAAAGAACGGATTCAATTGGAACTCGTCGTTCTCCGATCACTGTTCAGGAATTCGCCGGAACGTAACGTACCGGAATTTAATCCGTTTATTGGAAAGACACGAATGCATTTTTTCGTTCATTTTACCCTTACACGTATAACTTCCCGATTTAAATATTTTCAATAAATCTAACAGTTTTGTTGATATTTATTAATAGTAGATATATATATAAGTTTGTCCCGATTGTCTTCTGTGATTGACATCTGAAAAAAAAATGCAAACAATTTTGTTGACACCCGGATTTGAAGGTTTGAACTCGCGACCCTTGGGATGACAAGAAGTATGTATAATCATTAGATTACGTCAAACATTCTTTAAAAAACACAATATAGAGTTATTTAACATAACGTATAATATCTAGACAGTATCAGAACTTCAAAAAGTTATAATTTCGAAACTTAGTCAGTCCGCTCAATTCTGGCTTCACCATCGTTCTTAAATCGGCAATGTACATATGTTCAAAAAAAAAAAAAAATTAAAAATTAGATTTGTTCCACATACATTTTTACTCAAACGGTTTTTGTCAAAATTTAATATTAAAATTCCTCTATGTAAAAAATACTACATTAAACTCGATTTTTTTTTTTTTTTACCACAAAATAAAGACTTTTAATGAACCTCCTGTTAAATTTTCATGCATTTCTGTTTAGTCTAACGATTTTACCACACAGTACTTGCCGAATAAAATTACATACAAAAGTCAAAAAATTTAAATGTCTATAAATAGCTCAAAAATGGCTAAATGTTTTGAAAATTTTACCGCATCTAGAAAACATAAATATAATTTTTTTGTCCCTACGGATATTTTTAACTGTATTACAACAAATAACAAAATTGAACAAATAATAAAAGCATTATTTTCGCAAATTTTCCCATTTTTCTCACGTTTATTCGAACCTTTTCTCTTTTGTCGGGAAAATCGAAAAAATGACCTCTCTAAAGTACCGCTCCGAGAAAATCTCCTTTTGGAAAATGGTCTACGTCGTATAGACCGGAGCTAGATTTCCGGTAGAATTTTTGAGCACAGGAGAAAAAAAACAACCTTCTTTGTAAAACCAATACATTCTTCGCGACACTCAGAATCGTAAAATACGTACAAAAATTAACGGTCTTATTTGGTTTTTTTTTTAATTTTTTGAACGAAAAAAGAAACCGGTTCGTTTCGCCGATCCTGGACCGTGCCGGGAATTTCAGCGAGACGAACGCGAACACGTGACTCTCTGTTTTTGAAACGAACCTTCCGAACACCGGACAACGTGTGGCATTCGTAATTGTTCGACAACAATGTGCACATTGGCCGCGAACGGCGTGCGTACACGGGGAGACGCTAACGCGGGCGACTTATCGAACACTTTCTATTGTCGTTACAACGTCGTACGTTAACGCGGTCCGATTTTTATTTTTTTTTTCTCGTTTCCCCGTCCGTCGCGTTTTACGCCGCGATAATCGCGTTTCGGTCCGGAACAATACCCGGGCCGGTGCGCGCACATAATCTATACCATATAAAATCCAAATACCACCGACTGACCGATCGCCGTATCTCGAAAACGCACGGACTCGAAATTTGGAATATAGGTTCTTCTCGTATTTTCGCCGTGCAGTAAGAAGGGATTTTCAAAAATGTCGCGTTTTAGTGGAGTAATTAACAGTTATAATTATTCACCGCCAATACGTATTGTGCGGCACGGCGGGTCTCCGGCTACCTGCGACCTATCATTTTTGTTCGTCGTCGTCGTGTAGATAAGAATAAAATTGTTCCGAGAAGTTTATCGATAAAAATAAATTTATAGATATTAGATTATTACGTATATTATCGATAATTACGAATTTAAGACGGTAAACGGTAATACATGGCGTTATCCAGTGTGTCACGAATTTGTTTCCGGGCAACGCCGGATAATTCAGCTGGTATAATGTACAATGTCGCAACGCGCGCGTACGCCGCCGTACGCCCGGAGGACGTTCGTTTACGGCGAATTGCGCGCTCCGGCGACGGCAAACACGCGGCGCGTCAGAATGGAACATCCGAACGTCCGGGGGTCCGTTACACGGTATTACGTGTACACCGCGTTGTTTAACGGAACAACAACGTGTACCGCCGCCGCGTTCCGTTCGTAGACGGACAATACGTTTTCACAATGCGGCCGGGCCGAACTATTGCGATAACGCGCGACAAATGTGCGGCCGGCGTCCGTTTCGTCCGGGCGATTTTGTCAAAACGAAAACCCCCGGCGTCGTGTCGGCAACACGTGTTTTCCGCCGACAGCCCATTACGAGGTCCCTCCGAGGTCCACGACGCGCGCGTGTTGCTGCGTGCGCGTCGGCCTTACGCGCTGTTTTACGGTCCGGGCGGATGCGTGCCCGTGTCGTAGCCTGTACGCTCCTACGCTGTCTGCGGATCTCCGGGTTTTTGTTCGTGCGGGGGGGGGGAGCGGGCGGATTTTATTGGAAATATATTCGGCGCGCATACACTACGAAGAGACGTATTGTGATATTTCCGGAGACGAGAAAGAAATCGAATTCTGTTTTGTTTTTTTTTTTTTTTTTTTTTCGGATAGATTTTGATTTTTTTTTTCCTCTATTATCCCGTGAGATATCGCAATGGGTAAATCTTCGTGGGACATTGCACGCAATCGGAATGTGAGAATCGCGTAAAACCCCCTCCCACCTTCTCTCTGTTTCTGCGGTAACAGTGAAAACCGGCGAAAACGGAACTACGCGAAAAACCCGCAGAAAGTGTCTACACGCATACCGCAAAAGTTCATACGAAGTGAAATTCAATTTCGGAACCGTTCAAATTTCCATTTTACACCGGCAATACGCGACAAAATGATAAACGCTCAGCGTTCAATACACATTAATTGTATCGAACAAAAAAAAAAAAAAACAAGTTAATCTAATTTTGTTGATTATAAATTGCTTTGTTTAGCTTTATCGACCAATTCCTTAGGTTTTTTCGCGACACAACCATAAAAGTAATCATCAGTTTCATTGCGTACCTATCCAGTGATTGTGCGTTAAAATTATCCATACTATGCCCGTATGCGTTACAATTTATCTTACTCGCATCATACAACCTAACATATCCTAAAATTAAACGCCCGTAATACTGTGGGTACGTTCACACGGCGATAGCACCACGGTGTTTGATCCCGTTCCTATCACTTTTCCTCAATTTGGACTATTTGGAGAGGAAATGTTCATGATATGCAAACAGATTTGGCCAGTTCTCATTCAAACGCAACTATTATTTTTACATGACGTGTTCGATACGGAACACCACGAGCTTTTTTTCAATTTCTATTGTTTTCGTTTTTTTTTTGTCGCTTATGGTCTGTGCACGCCCGTGCGGCAACAATAGACAATATGTGTAGATTGACGGCACTGGGCCCGCGCCATTCCCAGATCAAAATATTATTGAAAATGTTGGAAAATTACTCGTTAAAAAGAGGTTTATGTAAAGACGCCAAACAATATTCTGCGCTTCGTGAGTTCATTTTAAATATTCGGGTACAAATTTCGAATTTAAAATGTTACATAAATGCTGTATAACATCATTCCAAATACGAGAACTGTCATTACAGATATTCGTGCTGATGAGAGCTCTATCGAATAATAATATTATTATATTATAAATGAATATTTCGATTTCATCAAAATTAGAGAAATAATTGTACATTAATTTCGTATTTATACATTACATCTGTGGCTCGGGTCTAAAAGGGCCAATCTTACTTTTATGTTACTTCACTTAGCATTAGCCAATAAAACGCCGCGCGCCGCGCTGCCACACAAATGACACTCCACCATGCTCTTATCTCTTATCTAAATTTAAAAGCGAATTATCTCGTCAAAGGGTTGACGGAAATTACAAATGTATTTAAAGTAGGTAACACGACATTTCTTTAGGAAATTTTTTAATATAGGTTCTCATTTGAAAAACCAAAGTTGGTATCACCACAGGATATTCGCTGTGAAAAATCTAAGTATTCGAAAATTTCGTCTTTGACTACATTTAAAAATTCCGAAAATCAGAATTTCAATATAATGTGCAAAATTTAATCAAACAAATGGGGTGAACACGCTTAGTGTCCTGTGCATCCTGTATATAAATTTCGGTAGTTAGGACTTTTAATAGTTTTTAAAATTAAAATTGATGTAGGCATTTTATTTTACAATATATCAAATTTAAGTTTAAAGGGTTTGAACATAAAAAGTTAAGAAGGCCAAGGCGTATCAAGATGTATATGTTAGAAATTTTAACTCAATTGGGGCAAAAATTGAGGTCGACCCTTTTGGACCCATAGTTTCGTAAAACTTTAAAACGTACTAGAAAGTAAAACTAATATGCGAATCACAAAATTAATAAAAACGTTTGCATATTTGTATACAATTTCGAAGACAGTGCGTATATTATAAATGTTTAACTAAAAATGTTCGGATGTTTTATTTATCTTTTTGTCACGTACCGTTTTATCGGTGGGGAGGAGGGATGGGGTGTTATAATTATAAATTATAATATTTTCGAACAAAAATTTAAAAACAAAACACTACTCACCGGTAGTCAGTCCGGCCAGGAGTCTTGCCACATAAATGCATTCCACGCACCAAGCGTTGCTGATGATGATCCAGCTCAGCAGCATCGGGATGTACGTCAGTTGCAGGGCATAGTTGCGGCCGAATCTGTCGGACAAATAGCCGAACGCCAGCGAACCGATCGGACACAACAACAGCGGAAGACTGGCTGCGGAACATTTACACTTATTATAATAATAGTGTCTCATCGATATGACAATTTTAGTTTTTTTTTTTTTTTTTGTGCGATACTAGCAGATTTACATACTGCAGATGGAGCACGGGCACAGAGGCACGTGCCCCCCCCCCCTGTCAATGGACTACAGTTTTTATTGATATATTTTATACTAATTTAATATAGTTAATTTATCAAAAATATAAATAATGTGCCCCCCCCCTTTAAAAAATGTCTGGATCCGCCGCTGTCTCGTAATACTTTACATGGAATTTCAAATAGGTAGAAAATATTTAATTTCCATTATTTTTTTCAGCCGTACCACCGCGGAATCCTTCAGGCTACTATTAACTATGTACAGCATGTTATTTTTTCTCTCCAAAATCGTATCACGCGTTTTGATTCGAATATAATATACAGGAGAAAACAACGAAGCATAATACAATGCACATGATATGGCGGAAGGATCCGAAGGAAGTCGTATCAGGGAGTCGTCTGTCACCGTGTGTCGGCGCGAAAGACCGTAGACTTGTACACGGACTACGCGGACGTGGGAAAACTGCGGGTATTTTAATATTATGGTAAAATGATGACGGAAAACGCGAATGTGGTCCAGTGAATTCAGACGCGGGCCGGATCGGTTACGCAATCAAGTCGGGGCTAGGGGGATCGCCCGCTCTGTATCGTCTCGAGCCCTCTAAATTTCTTTTTAAAACACCCCCTTGGTCGCACCGCTGTATTTGTCTAATGTTATGGCGGGACCCAGGTCCGCCCACCCCCGAGGTCTACGGGACGATTGCGCCACTGGGCCGAATCTTTTTAAACGCTCGCCGTACTGCCGATTGAATTCGAAAAAGAAGATTTGTACCACGACGACCACCGGACACCTCAATACACTCAAATCGCTGTTGATTCGGAAATGGGAACTATGTGGGAATGTGTATATCGACGCGAACACAACGGGGAGAACATTTCGAACGTCGAACCGATCAACGGTGTTTCCGTACGGCGGACGGGGTGAGGGGGGGGGGGAGTTTTCAATATACGCCGTGCAATAAAGTCACGAAATTTCGTTGGAAAATCGCGGGCGTACTGCGCGATGCGGTATTCTGGAGCGGCCGAAAAAAACAATCCCTCGTCACCATCCGTTGCCCGATCGGCGCTGAAATCCAGCGGTGCGCGCGTAATAATACTGTATGCTCAATGCGTGCACACATGTGCGTATACCTATCCACGAGGCTTGTTCGGCGTCCACGTGGAAATCGCTCTCGGGTCTCTGGAGCTGCGACAGCACCACCGAGGAAAATCCTAAAACGCCGCCGACCACGAACTGCTGGAACGCCATGACGCTGGTCGTGAAAAACTGTAATTCATTAAGCGGGTTTTTTTTTTTTTTTTCATCAACTGTACCGCCGTAACAATATGTTTTTAATTGGATATAATATTGGCTTTGTACACGGTTCACGACAACCGTATACGCGAACGCTGTCGTCGCCTGGCGTCACGACGACGACCGCGTTGCCGGGAATTTCGCGAACCACCCGTACGGCGGGTACATCTATAAATAATATTGTTACATTATAACGATACGGTAGTTGGATCGCTTACCAGTTTCAAGTGGATAACGGCCGATTTTTTGTCGAACATTTTTTTCCGGCAACAATATTGTATACCTGTGTATTGTGCAACTACGATGTACACCTACGACAATGCGTCCGTTGCACAGGACCGCGCACCGTGTGTACGGTACCGTTCGGTCTTTGACGGAGAAATGCAAAACGATCGCGAGACGCGTCCATTTTTTATGATAATAAATTGATGGGGGGAAAAAAAAAAAAAAAAAAAAAAAAAAAAAAAATATTATAATAATAATTAACTATACCGTTAATCGCCGTGTACAGTATAGTGTTCTGTCGTAACAATAACGGCGATATCATCACATCGACGAGTGTGCCAGGCGTTAATCTCGTATAGCGTGCGTGCGTGTGCATAGCGTATATCTGTGCTTGTCGTGTATACGTATAGGTTAGGTCGAGATACGCGCGATCGTTTTATCCGGTCGCACTCGAGACGAATATCTGCAATAAATCAATTTATTATGCAATGCAGGCGTATATTTATATACACGTATAATATTTACAAATATTCGTAATGTATATATAAACGATAACTTATACGGTGCGGTCGAAACGGGACAAGGGACGCGGAGTCCCGTTTCCTATTTGAGAGGACGTGGCCGTTATGCGTCCCGTATTTAACGGGGTCGCGTATAAACGATTTTTGGAGAAAAAAAAAAAAATAATAATGAGGAATTGCGGGGGAATTATTCTAATTATGTTTTATCTTTAATTATTTGTATTTAAATTGTTCGCATTCAAGAATTGTATAGATACACAAATATATAAAATGTATTGATTTTACAATGATGTTTATTATTTTTTTTTTTTCTTATATACTGTGTGCAAAATTTTTCTTTATAAATCTTAGTACAATCAAAACACGGCAAGAGCCTTGTTTAATTGCATTTTGACTCTAGTTGGTATTTCAGAAAGGTTATTTTTTGAAATTCTCCTGGTGTTTCCATTCGAATGAAACACAATGTATACTATCTAACACTGTATTGCCGTGGGTGGTTCTAAAAATTATACAGAGGGTAAACAAAAAAAATCAAATTTCGTATGCGTTAAAACTTAAACACACATTTTTATGTGAGTTCGAGCCCCCATAGCACCCTTTGAATCCGTTCTTGTGTACTGAATATTACCGTCTGCAGTACTGAATCGAACGTTTTAATCCGGTAATTGCAGGTAAACGGTGTAATAAAAATAAAATCACACATGACAATTTATTGTTACAGCGAGTTACTGGTGATTATCGGCGCAAACCGGTGAAATTAATAATATAACGGCGCACCCGTTTTTAATCGAATCTTTAGTCGATATCCGTGTAGTAACTTATAGATTGAAAAAAAAAAAAAACAATAAATTACCGTAGGCTGCACCTATACTTGTATACAATTTTATAGAGCGAAACCGTTGACGACTGCGTTTGGTTTATTTATTTTTTTTTTTTATTTCAAACTATACATTATTCACGGGCTCTTCGGCAGCCCACGGTTCGCGTACTTGAATTTATTTTCAAAATGTGTATATTCTGAAGTAAAAGAGGGGTCGACGTTATTTTACGGCCTAACGGCTGTGTAAACAAGGACGATGGTGAATTCGCCACTGTTAAATAGAGTGCTTTTCAAAATGCCGTATTCTATAAAAGGGTCAAAAAGGGGCCGACGATTTTGTTTTTTTTTTTTTTTTTTTTTTTTTTTTTGTTTTCAGAAGTCCGTTGCACAAACAAGGGTGAATTCCGATCGTGAGTCATGGTGACGTATAAATGCGTGTCGAGTTTAAAGATTTTTTTTTTTTTTTTTACAGCCTACGCAATAAATTGAAAAAAATACGACGACAACAATATTATTGAAAAATCGTCCAACATGATAGCCTACCGCTATCGCACCTTTAGCAGTATTACACGATGCGTGAATTGTTTGTATACAGTATTTGTTGACCTTAACTCAACAGCAACGTACATTTATATTGAAATGCGTCAATGCATAAATTATTTGCTAATAACGGCCTAGATATTATATACTTACAAATTAATAATATTTACAAGTACGAATGTATTTTAGTATAAGGGTAAGGGTTGAAACCCCTAAAAGCCGTTGATAACAATATAATGCCGTTCATATAGGTATACAAAATTGTACCCAGCTGGCTTCGTTTGGGGGGGGGAGGTCTGTAAGGGGTCCAAAGTTAAAAAATCCACACTCCTCCCGTAACGAGAAATCAACTCAACTATTATCATTTTTTAATTCACATATAAAACAACAATTTGGTATACAAGGAGCCATAGCTTTAAGCTATAGCTATGAGCCATAATAGATAAGTATATAAACTGGCAATACTCTCAATATTTTTGGAGAAAACTGAAAAATAAAAAGCTGATACCGGAGCATTTCCGTTTAGCCTAACAATTTTATCTACAGAGTATACTTATCAGGTAAAAATTGCGTAAACAAGTAGCAAAATTAAAATGTCTATAAATAGCTCAAAAATGACTAAAATGTTTTGAAAATTTTAGCACGTCATTGTCTTTTCTAGAAAACGCAATAATAAGTTTTTTTGTAAAAATTATAAGTCTACGAATATGTTCAACTGAAGAACGACGGAAAAAATAAAAAACTAAATTTAAAACAACAAAAGTATTATTACCGTAAATTTGCCCGTTTTTCTCGAAAATTTCCTTTCAGAAAAAGTGCTACACTTGCAAAAGAATAGAAATTTTGAACACAGTAAAAAAAAAAAAAAAAAAATAGAAAATAATAATAAAAACTAATGCGTTCATCGTTTCGCTCAAAATCTAAAAAAAAAAAAAAACCACATACAGTGAACCCGACAGGTCCCTCGTCACGCTCCAAATCTAAAAAGCGTTTTACGAAATTTACGACCTATCCATTTAGTACTGTTATCACTTTGTTTGAATATAATTTTCTGTTTTTTCAAATTGAATACAATTTATTATTATTGTTATTAATCGAAACGTCCGATGGTTTTATACGCATACCCGAATCTGTTATGCGCATTAATAATCTCGGTTCGCAATTGTTTATTGATTTTACGTCATAAAAGCATGCAATAGTTATCATTATTGATAGGGGTTTCGGTTGCGATTTTATCGAAAATACTGACTTCGCGAATCGACGCGAACTCGGTGTGCAAACATCTCAATACTTGTAGTACGCGTCGTGTTCGACGAGTGGACATCCTACTCGACGGCAATTTTTTGTTTGCTCAGACATTATTTTGCTAATCACCCGCCTAAGGTAATCCGGGCGATGCGTATTTCGGATCATCGTTAAACAATTGCGCGCGTACGCGACGGACAATGGAGTCCGGCGATAAAAATATTCGGAAAACGTGATAAATTACATATGAAATCGTACGCGTAGCGCGAATAGGGCACTTGAGTGCGTAACATCGTCGTGTACAAATACAATTGGTTTTTTTTTTTCCTCTCGTAAACAAGGACGTCAAACACGACGGAACACTCGACGAGGTACTCGATACGCGGCGGCCGTGCCGATTACGCACGCAACGCCATCGCCCGAAACAATTACGAATTGCGCGCACCAAAACATGTCGCCGCGTCAATAAATCCCGTGCCGCCGCCGCCGCCCAAAACGCGGTGCCCGCCGCGCCGCGGGCCGGAGTGCTTTTGCCCGGCGCGTCAGAAGTAGAGATTTCGGCGGACGCGCGCGCGCCACACTGAAAGTGCCGTTATCCGATCGGATACGGTAACCGGCCCGCCTGACGTGTACGCGCCGGAGCCGCGATTAAAAAAAAAAACGAACGTTACTGGCGACACGCTCCGCGGCTGTTAAGCCGACGGCACACGGCACTGCACGCACGCGTGCGATCGCCCAACGCCGTTCTGTTCACGAAACGCCACCCGTACCGAGTGCCATTCGAACGCCACGCGCTCAGGCCGCTAACGACGATTTCGACACGATTTTTAAATTTTTTTTTTTTTTGCTCGTCCCCGTAACAATTTAAGTACATTACCGCGCGCGCGACGTAAACCGGTAACCTATTTATGTCGTTAACCACGACGCTCGAGTGCGCCCGCATGTGTGCAATGTTAAACGCGCACGCCTACGCGAACTGCGCGGGTCTTAACAGTGTGCGCGCGGAGGAATTTTGATAGCGCACGCGGTTAACACGAGTACATTAGGCGGTACCCGCCTGTGTGCCGAGTTTTTTCTACGCGCAACCACCAGAGGATTCGAACAAAAACAAATTTTTAATTTTCGCGTTTCACAACGTGTGTTTTAACGACAGCGGCGCATTTTTCCGGGGCGAAAACGCTGACCGTCCGGCCTCTCGAGGGACAATACCATCGAATTTTCGCAATTTTCGGAGTGGTTAAGATAGGTTTACGGGCAATAGCCTCGTCGCCGACTAATTGTAATAAATATAGCAAATAAATGTATAAATAAACAATTTATATATAAAAATATAAAATAAACGAATGCGTCGCCTGGAGTATTATGACACGACCGGTTTCGAATTATGATGAAAATATTACAGTCGAAATGTGTGAGTCGCGTGTTACATAGGGGCACAAATATTGTCGGTTATCTACTTCTAAGCTCGGATTACACCGGACGAATTTATGCTATGCGCTCGTCGGCGAATAAAGTCGTTTAAAGGCACGCGAACTATTAAAATACTGAAAAAATATCTCTCTCGCCCTCAGCCGTGGACCCAGTAGCGTGCCCAGGAATATTTAATGGGAGGGGATATAACAAATGAAAATCGTGAAAACGAGTAAAAATCATCTTCTCTACTCGACTCGAATATGGGAATTGGTAATTTAAAAGCCGAATCCTAAAATAAAAAAGCCAATTTATAATCAATACATCGAGCTTTTTCTTGGAAATCGGCCGAAATATATGAGTTTTGATATTAGATTATTCGTAATTTGTTTTATTTTTTCATCAATGCGGGAAGATATATAAACACTAACCTCCCTACTGGGCACGACACTGCGTGGACCTAACCCCGCGAACACGAAATTTTCATTCGGTGACTTTACTAGGGGAGATGGACAATTGGCCGACGGCAAAAATACCGACCGGAAACTTGACCGACAATAATTTATAATGCCATACAATTTAGATTTTTATTTTGAAAATCGATTTCGCAATGATTAATCTTTGCTAACGAAAATCGATTTTGAGCGGAGTTCGGTTAAACATGGTAAAATGGTAATAAGATAATAATAATTACGATTTTCATCAAAAATGAATATTAAAAAACTCGCAAAATTAAAATGTCCATAAATAGCTCAAAAATGGCTCAAATGTTTTGGAAATTTGACCACGTCTATAAAAGGCAAATATAAGGTTTTTAACAGAATAATATATAAAGTAGTAATTCATAATGCCATGCAATTTATATTTTTATTTTAAACGTATAATAATTTAGGTAAAAAAATTGACAAATAAAACTAAAATACATCCTACAAAAAATCCTATTTTGATGAAAATTGGAATTATCACTACCATTTAATACATATATATAACCGAACTCTGCTCAAAATCGTTTTTCGTTTGCAAATATATTGCATAGCATTATAAATTATTGTCGTTCAATTGTCCCGTCGGTATTTCAGTTGTCGGTCGATTAATCCAGACCCCTTTTTACTAGTGAAACTGTACAACGAGTGACGATTTTATTCGAGTGATGAGTGTAAACGATTCGTTTGGCATAGCAGCGTGTAAATTCGTCCCATGCAATTCGACACTGAAAATTACCTAACAAACACAGTTGAAAAAAACTAAAGAAAAACCGTTTAATATTAAATAATTTGGTCGGATACACACGCGTAGCTTATTATAACGGTCCTCCGTGTTTGACCTTTTCGTGCACTACAGGTAACACAAAACCACCAACAAGATAAACGTACGTCACTATTATCGTGCCCTCGACAAGATCAGCATGTTCGATGACATGTTCAGTACGTATATTGTCTTATGATTGATTGGATTAGCGTAATGGAAACACGTTGTGAATAACGAGAAAAGAATTTAAAACCGTACCAACATAGTTCTACAACTGGTGAAAAAATTTCTCAAATTGTAAAAAAGCACCGCAAAGGTATTTATTTATTCGGTTGTCGGGCTCTAATTAACTTTTCCGCCGACTGTTTCCATGAAGCAACAGTTGATTTGTGTATGTATTTAATTGGCCAACAGTGTTTCCCATAGAATTATTTCAAGCCGACAATAATTTCCGTGTTATTTTTGTACGGAAATTTTAGATACTTACGCATTATTATTCTTATAAATACGTTCATATATTTATAAACAGAGGAAGTTGTAGATGCGATAGTTCCGATTTTATTATCTCCGTTGTTTAATATTATATAAAAAAAAAAATGAGGAAAATAACTTCCGCAGTGAACAGGTAAAATACAAAAATTTTGATTTAAAAATCATAAATGACTTGCTACAAAGGTAGGTAGATATAGACTATAGAAGAAGAAACCATTAATTTATACGGGTGTTTTTTTTTTTTTTTTATAAACCAGTGATTATCTCGGAATATTTTAAGTGAATTTGATTTCTGTTTTTTTTTTTTTTTAATCTTTGTAGAATCATTTAAGCTCTATTTTAAAACCATTTTTAATGTTTTACCCTTACTTAATATATCATAAAAAAGAATATACTTTTGTTTTTCAAAGGAAAACGCCCTTTTTGAACACATATACGAATAGAATATATTTTTCTAAAAATTTCGATATGCATAACACTATAATATTAGATTCAGAATATCAGATTTGCCGTTTATGAGTTATAACTGTTTAAAGTTTGGACCGGAGGAGTAGGGAAGATTTATCAATTATCATTTAAATGTAGACATACAGTTTATGGAGTAGATGTAAAACATTGAAAATGGTTTTAAAATAAAGCTTAAACAATTGTACAAAGATTAAAAACTATAAATCAAATCCACTTAAAACCTTCCGAAATAATTACCGGTTCGTGATAAAAAAAAAACGTCCTAGGATAATGGAAATCAAGGACGTGCTCACAGAGAGAGATGAGAGTGTCATATCTTCCCCATGAACTTTTTTTTATGCATTTGTTTGTAGTTCTTTGGTAGTTTTGATTTTCTCGGAAAAAAAAAGTAGGACATAGTTGGTTTTTAATTTTTAGTCAAATTAATTATTATCATACATATAAAATATCAAATCCTAATAAGGATTTTTTTATATACTATAAAGTATTAATTTTAAAATAATTATCACGTGTAGAATTAAAAATTCAAGCGAGTAGATTTTATTGGATAATCGAAGAGCTCTGGGAAGAAGAAAATTTGCACCGCTATTTATCCTATAATGTAAATTATCAAACAAGTCTATATTGTATGTATACTGCAGTCGAGAAATCTGGAATCCTATCATTGATAATAATTCAGGACAAGTAAAGTAACATGCCCATTTAGAATAACTATCAAAAATAAACATTATCAGCCAAATTACGTCTTAAAGAGAGACAATCAAGATCTTAAGTTTGGTGTACTTGAATAAGTCTCTAGAGAAGGAAAAATTTAAATTACATAAATAAATACTAATTTTTACAATATAATATAATAACAATTTATTAACGTTTCTGAAAGAAAAATAAACTGTAATTACATATTTCATTTTACAAAAGACAAAATAAAAACAAATGTAACTACAAATCATATATATTTTATTAAATTCACAATTTTATCTTGGCTAAAAGTAGCGAATTTTGTGCTGTTTTCCTATAAAAAATATAGTGTTATTACGCTACATGCTACTTACCAAAATACTGACACTACCAGTACCTATCATTACAAAACAGGTAGCTTATTACTTCCAACTACAGCAATTAAATGTATTTATAATATAAAAACCCATAGTACATTTCCATAAGTAATAAAATAAATTGAATCACAGTGAAAATTGCAGAATATAACATCTGTTTTTTTTTCTATTAGTTAAGCAATGTTTATTTTTTTTCTGTGAATATCTTCTACCGGAATGTTTTGCTCAATTTTTAAGTGTGACACCTTCCTGGAAAGTTGGTAGTTAATTGATTTTCCTTGTAGTTTTTTAATAATTCGGAAAAACAAAGAAAGTTTACGGCATTCAGTTTTATCATTTTAGATTTTGGGTTTTTGATGGAATTTGGTTAAAAATAATCATAGAGGCCGAACATTTTCACAGAACATTAATAATGGCCTTTTATATGCATCGTAAAATATTTATTATATTCTGGCGATTTTTTAGTTATTTACAGAATATAGGCATAACATTTTTGAGTTTTTTATGTGGGTAAAATTGTTTTGGTTCTTCAAAAATGTTTGAAAATTTTACTCAAAGTTTATTATAAGTTGTAGGTAGTCAGTGCTAAAATTAAAAAAATTAAGTGTAATGCAGTTCTTAGTTGTGTATACATGTTAAAAGAAAATATTTTGACAATAATTATTGTAAAAATTACAACATTTCAAAACATGTATAACTAGACTTCGATCAGATTAATTTTTTATTAACAATGGACTTTCATTATGTACAGTATATTTTTGATTTATTCTGTACAATTTAAGTTAAGTTGAAGTTTAAGCTGCTAAGTTAGACCACTTTCATGGTTTTAAATTATAGTAAAATAAATTGATTAGGGCTTAGTGGAAATTATGTTAGTAAACAAAAAATATTAAGTTATTGTACCTACTACAATTAGTTTTTATTAATAATAAAAAAGGTATTTAATTTCATAATAATAGTAATATGTTATTGTTTAAATTTAATAATGTTGAAATACTATAAAGTTATGTTAAAATTATATATTATATCAATATTAAATATATACTTAACTAAATATTAATTTTAAAAATTGGAAAATTATTTATTTTTTTGTCTCTTTAAAGATGTTACTGATAACTTTTACAAATGTTAAATTCAAAATGTATGGCAGTTTTTTGTTAGGTAGGTTAAGCATATTTTAATAATCAAATAAATTGTATTCACATAAATTTTAAAACAAAATGAAAACAAAAAGAACTTCAAAATGTATAAATAGCTCAAAAATCGATTAACTAAATATTAACTATTTGCATGGCTAAATATATATTAAGCCATGCAATTTCATTAAAATCAGTTCAATATTTTATGAGATATTGTTACTTTCATAAATTTGACCTGTTATTACCATTATATTAGCTTATATAAATATATATAACTCAAATATTTATATAATAGACAAAAATGTTTTAATTTTTTTTTTTTTACAACACAACACAATGCAACATATTATTAATACACAAAACAATTCACATAAATTTATAATGATTATAGTAATTTTGTATTTAATTATATTGGGTTCAAACAGTCTTTAAATAATTAAACATCTATTAGTCTAGAAAATATTGTTCAAAAATTAGCTAAGCTTTAATATAGGAAAGTGAGAGTTAGTTGTGAAGTCGAAATCCAATGATACACCGGGTCCTCTCATATATCCACTAGCTAACAATTTCATGGTCACAAAATTTGTTTTACACACTTTAATCAGATTCTGTACCTAAACAAAACGCACGATAATTAGTTTTGAACTAGTCAATACAATAAATATTATAAGCTTTCTGATAGTTACTTGTTGTGAGTGAGGCTGTTGAATAGTATCTAATAGACATCTCGCTTGGTGAAACAATTCACAGCCATTCAAATACAATATACCGGGATCTGCAGAGGCATTATCACGTATTTGGTTTCGGGTCATTTGAAATTCATTATAAGTAAATGGTGGTGGTACAGATACTGCAGAAAATGCAGAAAATCGGTGTTGATAGCGAACTCTTTCATTATCAAACTTCGCATGTTTTGGTGTCTGAATTTTACCTTCTAGTTGGAATCCTATGAATGTCTATAAAAAGTACATATATATATATATATTAAAATAATATACTTACTATTAATATTATTGATATAACTACAAAAATATTCTTTGAAGTTAAAACTTATAAGTTATTAATTATTACTAGGGCAGATAGCTTGTAGTATTTTTATTTTTATTTTAACTATTTAAAAAAATAGCAGAATAAGAACCAAATACGTTTTAGGCTAAGACAAAACTAGATTTGTAAATGTATTTTGCGTATGAATTCATATTTTGAGTTTTTTGGGTAAATTATTTCTATTTTATAATTGTTGAGATATATTTTATTTAATTAATAATTGTATCAATAATTTCCCCAGTAGCAATTTTATTTCATTCAATAAAACAATCATAATTATTGGATTTAGATATTTTTTTTTATCATATAATGTTAGTTGACTGTTTGCAGACACAGGTTTTTCCTCTACTCCATGACTAGTGATCGATACACCAATATATATTCACATTTCAGTGTTCTGGTTTTAAATGGTTAACTATTTTTATTTGTATATATTTATATTTTTTTTAGAATAATTTTAAGAAGTATCTGCAGGTTTTAACTATTAACTCCCTAAGTAAAATATATTTAAAAAAATGTTAATATCAAATTGCATATTTTGGAATATTCTAATTTTTATATAAATTAATTTATGTAGTGTTCACGTATATATTTGGTGACTTTTTAGAGATACAAGTCCTCTGTCCTACTTATTACATTATCAAACAAATAATAGAAATAAAATGTTAAAATATTAAATTAAACTAATAAAGATGTATACAAAAAGAGCAAAAGATTAGTTACAAGCATATGAAAATCACTTATACTAGTTATACTGTTGTTAGTTCGTAAGTATGAAGGAGACAGTTAAGTTTCTTTATAGTTAATGTAAAGTAAAACATTTCCTCTACAATATAAAGTCCAAGCAATTTTATTTATAATTTACATTTATTTATTTATTTTTAATATAATTTATTGATTTTTAAATTTGGAGAGTAATGAGGGATTTATTGATTTTACTATTGTGTTTTTGTAATTTTTTTTTTTGTGTGTCTTTAAACAACTTTTCTACCAAAAATCTTGCTCTAGTGTAACGCCTTTTCTGAAAATATTTTTTTATCCAGTTGGTACAATGAGGTTATTTTTGATTTTCCAATGAGTTTCCATAATTGGGAAAAATCAGAAAAACGGCAAATATTTACAGCATGCCACGGCGTTACCGATTTCATTCATATGCAAACTATGTTTACTACTAGAAATATTGCTTCAAGAAAAAAACTACAAAAACTTTATTTTGTTGAATTTTGGATCTAGTTGCTCATGAAGAAAGTTGTTTTTATTAATAATTGGGAAAACCGTAAAAAAGACAAAAAATGATAAACCAATAAATTTACAGCGTACAATTCCATTGTGATAAATTTGTGCATACAATGTTCTCTGTACTGCAAATTTTGTACAATCACTAAATGTGTTCTCTCCTTGCCCGCAGTATACCAATAGAAAAACGACAAGAGATCTTTTTTGTTGCATTTATCATGTGTTGGTGATTAAGAAAAATAATTTATTGATTTTCCGTTTTTTTTTTTTTTCAATAATTGAGCAAAATCAAAAAACATTTTAAATTGGCGAGTTTTTAATCTAATTTTTATTTGGTAAGTACTCAGTAAATAAAATTGTTAGACCAACCAGAAATAGTAGACAATTTGACAGAAGATTCTTTTACTTGTTGGGGGAAAAAAAATACAATGTAATGTGGTATTTTTTTTTTTTTTATTAAGAGATGAAATCAATTTTTCGAAGAAAATCGTAAATATTATGGCCAAAACACACTGTATAACTGAACTTCGCTCTGATTTGTTTTTCATTAGCAATGGTTTATTGTTGCTTACAGAAATAAATTAAATAATTGCATGTATTTTACCTTCCCAATTTCTCACCTATACCAGTGTCATACTCGTCCCCAGTATTAGCTTTTTAATCATGTTATTTTTTAACCTATTAACACAATTTTTTGTATATAAAGAAATTTTAAATTTTAAAATAAATTATGATCACAATAAAATGCATAAAAAAAAATTCTATTTGATTATAGTTTATTTAATTTAAAAAATATTCAATAATAGTGTTTTTTTTACATTTTTTTCATGTGTCATATAATATTACAAAATAATAATTGTTGCTTACCAAAGAAGTAAAATGTAACACCTTGAGTTTTTTTTAGGACATTTTTTTTTTAAATGATTATTTATCTTATTGAATTTAGTTACCTTAAAGTAAGCTCCTGTTAAACTTTGCATTGCATGGCACATTACAATTTCTTGACTGTATGGATGAGTTTTTTTCTTTTTGGGCTTGTTTCTTTTTGTTTTATTCTTTTGAAAATCAACATAAGAATTACTACCAAGCAGTACATTATCAGCTCTATTTAATGTAGAAACCAACCACCCATACAGAAATTGATATAAATACCTGAAATAATTTAAAATGCTTACTAAGTAAATAAAGAACATTTTCAGAATATTTTATGCTTACCAATAAATATACTGATACTCATGTGCACTATACAGTTCTAACTCAAAACCAGATAGTAAGTACATTATCATTATTCTAATTGTATGGTAAATAATCCATGTACTAAAACTGGCTAAATGTTCTTTTGGAGGATCTAGTTTAGAAGAGAATGAGTGTAAAAAAGCATCGATCCTCTGAGACTGATCATAAAAGTAATATAATAATAATATAAATTAATATAATATAAATTATGATTAACAATAAATATATTTTTGTGTACACAATATAATGAAATATTTTAAAATCATCTTTATGATAATACGTACTTCATCTTGTAATGCCGAAAATTCTTCCATAAGATGAGCCAACTTATCTCTTTGTCTAGCCTTATTATAACCACAGGTTTGAATTAATCCGGTAAAGGGACGAATGCAGTGTTCAAAAAAATTGTGTACACAATCTTTAGCCTAAAAATAAATCAAATTGTATTATTTTACATTTTAATCAATAAATGAAATCAATTTTACTTGATAATTAGTTAAAATGCCTAAACGTGATATAAGTGATGGTGGAGCTATAAATGATTTTGCCCATTCTCGAAGACAGTCCCCTAAATCCTGAGTGCCAAACACTTTGTTCGGCTGAGGAAAATAAAGTGTTTGCATTATAGATCTTGATACAATACATAAGTGACTGTTATGTCCAAGTTCAATAAAACATTCCTAAAATGTTTGACATTAGTTAAAAAAATAAAATTAATATAAACTAAAAAATAAAATTATTATTATAATAAAATATTATAACAATAAAACAAACCAAAGCACTAATATAAGATACACAATTTGTAAGTTTGCAAATTTGTTTCAGTCTTGTCAACAATGCATCAAAATACAAATATGCTTCAGCAGCAGTTTTAATTTTTGTATATCGTGGAAATGTTGGTGGTAACAACTTTTGATTAATAAGAGGATCAAAACCCAAATCATAATAGCAGTCTGAAAAACATAAAATCATTAAATATCAATTTCAATTTTAATATTTTTAAGATTCCTTACGGTCAATATTGGGAACTCCTTTATTCACAGTCTTTATTAAAGAAGGAATCAATAACCCACAAGTAGTTAACAACCTCTGAGTTTCTCCCATTAAGTTTGAATGACTTTCACGTCGATTGAAAGAAAGTAAAATTTGAAGAAGTAGTCTAACAAACTTTATGCGTGTATTTAACGCAAGATAAGATTCTTCCTAAAAAAAAAAAATTATGATTTAAAACTTGATTGTGGCTTTCAAAAATGAATTATTTATCTATCATCCTTACATCACAATTTGAATTTGATTTTAATATATGATTTATTGACTCGTCAACCTCTCTCATCATTCCAATAACACGTTGATCAGAAATTTCATTAAAAAAATGATAGTTATAAAGTGCAGCTTGAAAATCTTCTTCTTCAAAAACTTGTGCCCTGTATAATATAATATTTTTTTTTATTTTGTTATGTATATAAACGGGCTAGTGTCCAATTAATAGGGTGGATATTTTGCATAACAAATAATTTTCAAATAAGAATATAATAACTAGTTCTAAAAAAATGTTTACCAACCTGTTTGCAAAATCTCTGATTGATTCAATAATCTTATAAATACATATACAGAAAGCTTTCAATGGTATATCTTTAATTTCATATGGCTTTTGAAAATATAAATTTGTGAATACAGTTTGTGCTAACGAATGTCCTTCAAGCCAGGATACCAAACAAGCTAATGTAATGTCTATTATTGATATTTGTTCAGATACACTCAGGCCACTTAGTTTCAAATCTTCTAACTGTAAGTTTAATTAACTATTAAGGAACATAAAATACAGTCACATTTATAAAAATTATTGTGGAATCATTTAAAATTAATTTTAAAACCACGAGTTATAATCGATTAAAGTTTAGACCAGAGGAATAAAGAAGGGTAATAAATAGTACATTTATTTTCAAATGATAAATTGATAATTTTTCCCTATTACTCCAATCTAAACTTTAAAGGGTTCTAACTTATAAAAGGTAAACCTGCTATTAATGCTATGCATAACCTAATTTCTAAAAAAATATCCACTATTCAAATCTGTGTTTAAAAAGAGGGGTTGGAAAGCAAAAGATATTATGTAAGGTATATAGAGTAAGGGGAAAAAATGAAAATTGGTATTAAAATAAAGCTTAAAGGATCCTACAATGAGAGAAAAAAAATTGGAAAATAAATTCACTTAAAATCTTCAAAGAAAATTATCAGTTCATAATTTGTAATCATCGGGTCTATTTTAAATATTAATCAGCCAAAGAATAATATATATAATAATAATATATATAAGTATAATGTATATCCTACAATTCTGTTATTTTTCAAATAGTTTTAAGGGTATGAAATTTATATTTTTCAAAAAAATAATAGTTTTTCTTTAGGTATTATGTAAATAAATATTCATGTCAATAAAGACCAATTGAATTAATTTAATTTCTGCTTGGTAGAATAATATAATACTTTATTTATGTTTTGTATAGTCATACAAACAATAATTTTACTTTTATTGAATTTGATTCACGATTACACATCATGCCAGCGTCCATTTTAGGATCCATTATTTCAATAGCTGACATTGCTTCAAATAAACCAAAAAAGTAACCATGTAAAAGTTCACCCAATTCCAGATCTGAAATAAATAAAATTATATAGACAAGTGCATTTTTCTGAATAGATTATTGTGGTCTAGTGTTAATTTTTAGCAATTGTAATTCCAAGGAGCGAATTACAGTTTTTTGCACATTTTTACAACTAATTTATAAACTCAAAATTTACCAATTTTACACATTTTGCAATATATTTGACTATAAATTATATTTATTGCAACAAAAATAATTCATAAATTATATTTGATAAGTAACCGAATTTTGTTTATGATTCTGCAGCAAAATAACATAAAGTTACAATATTTTCTATGTGCTCGCTCAGACTGTTTTAAACAAAAAAGAAACCTCTCGATTTGTTATGCTAAACTACATCAAATAGGTAACAGTGAGAAAAAAAGGTATTTTGCAAGAAAAATTGTTTTTAATAATAATTATTATACAGGTACAGGACAACAGGTACATATCACCATTAGGCTATGACAACAAACATTTAAAATGTGCAATATTTATGTATTTAACATAACGCACATCATTTTTACAATTTACATAGATTTCAATGTAAATCAAAATCAAAAATAGATATGTATAACTCCAAAAACTAAGTTTGACCGCACAATTCTGATAGCTTCATTATTCTTAGCAAAAAAAAAAAATACTTTCGCCTGGTAATTTTTTAGAAAACTGCATGGATGCTAAACTTGATAATCGCCAAAATATTATATTTACAACAATTCTCTAATTCTTTTTATTATAAGATTTTATGTATACTACCACTTGAATACTTTAAATATCTAACTAATAAAATATATTTAATTATATTAACCTTTGATTGATTCAAAAAATTCAGGAGTAATATCTTTCCAATTATAATTTGGATTTTGTGCTGGTTCATTTTTTTGATTTGTAGTCGGTGTGCAATCAGTTTCCATTCTGAAAATTAATAAATAGATATTAAAAATAATTATTTTTAAAAGTTTTTGTTAATCAAATATTTTAGTTAAATTTCAATATGTTTATGCCACAGGACATGGGAATCTATGATAAATTAAGTATTTAAAGTTAATATTAATGAAATTAGTATATTATTGAAGATCGCAAATAATATTTACGCAGACAAATTAACAATATTAATTAATTTTTTTAATTTCAAAGAGATTTATCATGTATTAATAACCATTAATAATATTTTATTAATTAATTTCAAAGAGATTTATCATGTATTAATAACCATTAATAATATTTTATTAATTAATTTTATTAGTAAGTCATAAAAAAATATGAAGCCAAAGCTAGGTAATATTTTACATTTTAGATATCAAACATGACAAAATTGACTAAGTAATCTATTACACAAATTACATTATACAAATGGACAAACAAAAGTAACAACATTAAGTACACAAAAAATGTCTACCTGATATTATTTTCTCCAAGTTATTGGGATAAGTAAAACGAATGGGTACGATTTGTAGTGGTAAAGTGCCGGAAATCCAGTAGGTAACGTTACAATGCGGAAAGATGTTGACTAGTATTAAAAAAAAAAAAACAAAACAAAAATAATTATCATTATCATTTGGTTGTTACGCGTGTATGGACCTTAGATCAGATCTTACTATATTATAATAATATTATGATCTAAGGAGGTGAATACGCGTGTTATGATCAACAATTATTTGTACCTCATTTTAGTAGTATTAAAAAATAAAACGAAAAATATATGAGACGCCGAGATAAAGATTGTAGAATGTAGAAAATATTATTATTAAAATCGCGGGCGGTATGATTGTACAGTTCCAGTATTCAGTGGTGGTGATATCGATCACCGAATTGGCCGAATGGATTGTTATCACAAACCACTATATTAATCTGTGCATTATCAGCGTTATCAGTGTTACGGCGTAGACATATTACAGGCTGGCAAACCATAATTGTCATTATACAATTCTCATTGGTCCCGAGACCCCGTTCACTGGTACCCTATGGTCTCTACAGAGGTCAAAATTTGTTATCACCACGGTAGTCCAACAAAATATCCGGCGTTTGGTCTTCATCAAAGCTCACAGTCCTCACAACCCACATTTTCTATTTTGTTATCTTATAGTATTTCATGTTTTTTTTTTAAAAATTAGTCTTTTAATAATAATGTAATTAAAACCCAAAATCATGTCGTACAGTAAAGTATTGCACAAAAGTCGGTTGTTTACAACCTTGTTACAAAAACCCATGGTGAGTTTTTTTTTACAGTAATTGTTCTGTAAATATTATTATGCTATGTATTTAAATATATTTTGTATTTATTGTGTTCTCAGATAGGACAGACGTGCAATTTCCATAGATTTTCAAATACTACTTTTAAACTGGTTTCACTAGCACCCAAAAAATTTCTTACACCAGATCTTAAGCATTTAACAGCAACTAGTTTTACCTTTATTCGACATAGCAGTGGTGAGAGTCATGTAGAATCCACTTTGGCCAACAACAATAAGGAATCTGTTGATTTGACTGATGATGTCATACCGGATGCACCTGAAGTCCCTGTTGAAACTACATCTGTCGAACAAGTCGAAATAGTTTTGGTACCTATACTAGCTAGTTCACACGATACACATTTCAGAACGTGTTTGTTAAAATATCAATATTTTAATTTTAATGTTTGACTAGAATGCATTGGGAGAACAGACTATACAAAGTGCAGGACTTGGCTCATATACTCCAGTTGGATTTTTACAATATGCTTTAGAATACTTGCATGTTACTTGTGGGTTACCATGGTGGGGTGCAATAATTGCTGGTGAGCATAATATAATATTCTAAATTATAAAGATGGTATTAAAATAATTAAAATGCACCTGTTTTTTATATAACAAGTTAAATTTAGTGAAAATACCTAATGGCTAAAGAGGTAGATGGTAACAATTGTAGTTTATCATATTAGTCAAAATGTGTGTTGTTGCGTTTACATTCAAAATGTAAAACTTTTGACTTCACTTAGAATTGAATATCATTATATTCAGTAGCGGTGTGAACAAGGTTAAATTAAAGCAGCTGCATCATGAAAAAAAGGGTGGGTGTGTGTTGAATGTTGATGTTTATAGTTGAATAGATACAAGACACTTGAGATACTATGTACAATACATCATAGTAAACACTTTATTCTTATGATTAAAATTTAAAAATCAAGAAAATTTACATACTAATCTTCGATTTAGTAAATGTTTTTTTATATTTTGTGTTTATATTATATATAAAGAAAGATGGATAGGTGGATGTTGAAAATTTTACTGTGTCATTGAAATAATAAGTTCACACTGCCACTGATTATATTATATATTATACTAGTTAAAATTTTAATCTTAAAATATAGCATTTTTGGAATTAAATCAATATTTGTTTGACAAATAGCTGGAAATTTACATTTTATTAATTTTTAATTTAGTTTCTTATTTTAATGGAATAAATATGTAAGAATGAATATTTTTTTTGTGAGACTAGAGGCATTGATAAGGTTTAGTTACAGTTCTGCAGAAAGAGATTCATTTTACAAATCTGTGTAATAATTATTATTCTATTTTAGAATTATAAATGTTATAAATATTAGTTTGTAAAATTCTCAGTACATGCTAATCTTACAATTAATCACAGTAAAACTTTTTTTTATTTAAATTAAAATAAACATTTACAATCTGTTTATTTTTTGCATAAAAAGCAAATTTGGTGAAACAATATAACAATAACATATAAAAGACATGAACACATGAAAAGAGAAGCCATGCAGTGATAGGACCCTAAGTAAAACTAAATTTTATTGAAATAACAATTGATGGATCTATTAGTTTTAATTTATATGCATATATAATATATTTGGTTTGATTTAATATTTATATATACAAAAATAAGTATAATATGATATTTATTATTGGAATAAACCAAACTGTATTCATTTTTTATTTCTAGGTACAACCATTTTGCGTTTATTAGTATTTCCTTTTGTTGTTTCATCACAACGCCATACAGTAAAAATGAATAATAATATGCCACAAATCCAAGCATACCAAGAAAAAATGACAGAAGCTCGATTACATGGGAATCCTTATGAAAGTAAATTACCTAATTATGTTTGATATGATGATTATTACTTTTAAGTACTTTTTTTCATAAATTCTACAAATTAATATATATATATTAGTATTTTAATTTTAGAATTAAACAGAAAATTAATAATAGTAGTGATAACTGTTACAAATTCAATTCTAAAATAATACAACATGTGTTGTGTATGTATAAATATTTTGATTTCAGTGGCAAGAGCTTCACAAGAACTTATGTTATTTATGAAAACTCATCAAGTTAATCCATTAAAAGGAATGATATTACCTGCTGTTCAGGTAATTTAGAGTTTAGAATTTGTGTTTTATTTTATAACTCTTTTATTATTATTATTGTTTTTCAGTTTCCTATATTCTTAAGTATGTTTTTGGGTTTAAGAGGTATGGCAAATTTACCTTTAGAAAGTTTTAAGTATGGTGGTCTATGGTGGTTTACTGATATTACTGTGCCCGACCAATTCTTCATATTGCCTGTTCTCACTGTTATGACTCTTGGTTTGACATTAGAAGTAATATCAATTAAATTTTACAAATATTGTATTTATTGTTATGTACTTACATAATATTAATTTACACATTTCTAGCTTGGAGCAGATATTGGTAAACTAACTTCAACGAATGTTGGATTTGGAAAATATCTAAAATATGGAATTCGTTTATTACCTATTATTGTATTTCCATTTATTGTTAATTTCCCATGTGTAAGTACTATTTTATCTCTATTTTAAAAGACAAATAATTTGTGTAACACTTAAAATTGTACCTATGTATTATCATTGATCCGAAAACATGTATTTAATTGTGAATTATTGTTTAATTTTAATACAAATGTGTTGTTTCTTATACTTTGTTTTAGGCAGTATGTTTATATTGGGCATCAACTAATTTTATTTCACTAGGACAAGTAATGTTTTTAAAAATACCTAGTGTAAGAAATTATTTCAATATTGAAAAAAAGAGGGTGGTAGAATTGACTCAGAAAAAGAAGAAAGGAGTTGTTGGAGAGTTTAAAGAATGTATGAAATTAGATTAATTTAAAAATATATTTAAGTTTAAGAGAATAGCTGCATTTGTGTCAATATTTTTTAATTTTCTATGTCCAATGACTGTAGAAAATCCTTGCTCTGTATTTCTATCATGGTAATCATTTTAGTCACTTATTATAAAATTATAAAATAATAACATAATCTATGATCTTATTTTCGGATTTTTCAATATTTTCATTAACTAACTTAATATTGACTGTTTTGTAAACTTAATATTTTTCTCTTTCAAATTTATAATTTAAACCTAAACCTGTTAGTATAAAGTGAATATAGAGAAAGGATTTTTCTATAATCCCAGTTTGTATGATAAAAAAATCAATTAACAGCACTGTCGTTTCCTGTTTAAATGTGATTTGATTACAAATTGTATTTATTTTTTCTTTAGCATGGAAAAATATGCAAGTTGTCAAAGAAATTGAAGAAAGGGAACGTTTAGATCACATGAAGTTCATACAGGCTGGCCGAGCAGCGCCAGTTAAGACATTTAAATACAATCCAAAAGTGACAGGAGGGTTGAAAAAGGAAGTTTAATATAAACTATAGTAGTATTTATTTGATGTTTATTTTTGTAATATAAAAGATGTGTTAAGACTATATACATGTTATGGATATTATACAATTTTATGATCAAAATGTTGGATGTCTACGCTGTAGCAATGCATTTATTTAAAACTGATGATAAATGTGTATTCTCTAAAGCAGCAGCCACTCTTTCTTTGTCATCTAACTGTTTATTTATGGCGTGTTCGGATGCATGTGTACCAGGTGTTATGGTAACAGATATTTTAAAACGAGGTGGTAGACACCATAAAAGTCTAACTTTGATAGATAATCCAATTAATGTAGCCATACTACAATGAGGAATTGTTGGTGTGAATAAGACTTTAATGATATTAGCATTATCATCAACCTGTAAAAATCAAAAAACACTTAATTTAATAAAATATAGTTTAGTCATATATATTACATTAAAAGATTTTTAAATTTAATTTGATTTCAATTTGTTATGACATTTTAAAAAAATTGGTGAAGTTTTCATTCTGATGAATGATGATAAATAAGTGATGTTTCACTGGTTGAATATAATTTATGTACGTCAAAGCAATATCTCCTATAGTAGATTGTCATACAATAAACAATTTAGCAGTCCTCAAAAACCTAAAATAAGTGTTTTTTTTTTTTTAAAGTACCTCCTAAGACTAATTATTTTTAGTCCATAATAGACATAAAAAATTTGCTAAAATTAGTCATTATAAGGATCTAACAAATTTCTAGTAGGTATCAAATGTAAAACACGATATTAACAATATTTTATGGTAGAATGTTATACATTTATGTATTTATAATGAAGGTACCTACCTCAATTAAATTTTGATCAACTACTCTTAATTCTTCAAGTGAAAGTGGATGCTCAGGATCGGTGATTCCCCTAATCAAATCTGCCATTTTAAATAGACAAGTATATAGATTATTTTAGTGATAGATGCATATTTTTATATAATTAAAAATTATTTATTTACCGAATATTTCACGCGAATCAAACTCTTCAGTTTCGTTGTCATCCAAATCTTTTTCGCTCACTTTACGTTCTTCGCTTTTGTCGAATAAAGTTGGATTCTCATTGTCTAGGCCCATTTTAAATTATTTATTTCAAATTTTAATATGCGATGATTTAATTCTATTGAAAATAAATGGAGATATCTTAATTCGTGATAATTCATTATTATCATTGCAAGTCTGCTATTGATATTATCAGGTTTCTTTTTTTTCATCGCATGTCATCAGCTATGATAACATCTTCGCGCCGTATTTGAAATTTGAATCTGAACCCAACGAGTTTGTGCGAAAATTTGTTTTTGCATAGTTTTGATTTAATATTTTTCTGAAATATTATGGGTGCAAAATTACGAAATGAAAAAAAAAGCCATAATCATAATATTATCATTGTCAACGGTTTTTCACTTATACAAACGAGTAAACGACATTATGCGTGTCGCGTATCGGATTAAATTAAAAACTATCATTCATAATCGTGTTTGTATAGTATCGAACATCAGTTAGCCCACTTAAGAACGCTCGATATGGACGATTACAAAATTTACTAAACTGTTTACTAGAAAAACTAACCGGGTTATAGTAATATCGTATTTTTTTGATATTATTATTATTGTACCTCTGAACACTCAATGCGGCGTATCCATATGTTTTAATACCTAGTCTACGTTTATTTTTAGAAGTGCATAATTTATACTATTATAGTAGTATAGTGTGTTTGTAAGTGAGTTGTGTATGTGTATGCTTGTTGTGAATTTTGCCGCGCGATTAGTAGCTATTACTTATATATAGGTATAGATTGGTAGGTACGTTAAAAAAACAAATAAAAAATATAAAATTAGTGATATTCATTTAATGGGTATATATATTAAATTTCCCGGCTATACGTTTCAATTCACCACTAAATGACGACCTTATATAAACACAAAACACCGTCTGTAATTGCAACATAGATTTCTACACCTATATATCCAGTGGTAGTAATAAATAGATGTGTGCAAGAGAACTAACAATCAGATACTTATCTGATAAACTGAACAATTTACGCAACAACGGTTTCTACGATTTTTTTGATATTTTTTATAATTCATTGAAAAAAATAGTAATAATAACACGTAGATATCTGTAATATTATTATCAATACATATAATACAATATATTTTATAATAACCAATTCTAAGGGGCGGTACATTGGTTTGAAATATTCTCGAAATTGTTGAGATATTCATAATCATTTGATATTTTCGAGTTTTTTTGATTTTTTTTTTTTTTTTTTTTTGTTTCATGTGGATACAGTTGTTCTGGCCAAGCTGAAATGCTTGAAAACTGTTAAACATGTTATAAGAAGTGTAATTGAACTTTTTTTGTTCTAACCAATAAGTAGGTATTTAAAACTTATGATGGATCATACTATTTTTATTGGTGCTTAATCTATATTGAGGGTCGTACAAGAAATATGATACGCAAAAATTGCAAATTAAATGTAGACTGTGAGAGCACGTGCACATAATATGTATAAAAAGTCTATAGAAAAAAATATACTATACCTCATGCCTGTACGTAGATTATTATTGGTGCTTAATGAATAATTCTTTTATATCATTAATGAGTTATGAATATTTTCACAACATTTAAAACTGCATAACAATGTGCGTCAATGATCTTTCTTTTAACCCAACCGTAACGAGTCGCCATAAAAATTGGTATAGCCGGGTACAAGGCCGGCATAAAATTAACGTTTACAAGCAAATCGTCATCAGTAATTATGTCATTAAGATGAGTAATCTATGTGTTATTCTATACCATGCAGTTTGCGGTTGCAGTCAAAAAATCTAATTTATCTGTTGTTATCATAATACTTGATTTTTTTTAATTTACGGTCAATGATTTTTTTAATATTTTACAATTCAATTTTTACGTAACTCGTCTGCACTTTTTATAAGTGAATTTCTCATGTACTCAGTTTGTCTATACTTTACTGTCTACTTAAGTATATTACCAATAATATCTAATAGTCTATTAGTCATAAAATTATTTTTACTATTTCTATATCGTTTTGATAATATTCATTATACATTGTATATTTGTATATAAAAGTATATTATACAATGTGTTTCACTCAAATAGTAACTATATTTTTTATGGATCGACGATATGAAAATTTTGAAAACTGTTATCCTTACGCATGCACAATAAAACCTAAGTAGGTACCTATATTTTCATTAAACGAAAACGTATTTTTGGCACCAAATTCGAGTAGGTAGTTATATTTATTTTTCCAAGCGATCTCGTCTTACAATTTTTTCCTATCCCATAAATTGCTTCCGAAAAACAACGGCGTACTAAGTAATGCCGTTGAATGTGTTTTCCAGGAGGAGAGGAGCGAGGTTGTAAATATACTGTTGCTTTGGCTTATAAAAAGAAAAAACATGAATGGGTGATGGGTGTAATGCCTAAAATGTTGGTAAGTAAAATTTACATTACTACTGGATGCATACAATCCTTCTCCCACTTACAGTTCTTTTATTTCACTATCCCGTGAAATTTTACCTTATCTATAGGAAATTTAACAAAAAAATGTGTTCATACTTTTTTGTTACATTTCCCAAATAATAACGTAATAATGGTTATACCATAATTTTGAAATGCTTGAATATTTTATCCTTTATTTCATTAATACCTTTGTAAAATTTGATTAGGGAATTTTCAGTGCGACCAAAAATAACCTAGCTCTCTTATATTACCTATTACATATTTCAAGTTAACCTTATTTTAAAATTAGAAAAGACGTACTAGGATAGTGAAGATGGGTGTTGCTACTATTATAGGTAATTTAATGTATATCTTTAAGCAACGATAAACCATTGCTAACGAATAAACGATTCTGAAAACTAAGGGAATATCGAAAAAATTATTTCTCTATCATTGTAAATCGGAGCAAATTTGTTGGTAAAAAAGTTCACAGGAAAAAAGAAGGCCGAAATATTTTATTACTAATACCTATATTTTGTACAATTTCTGTTTTTTAGACATTTTATGTTGTTTTTCTCAGATAATATTAAAACTGCTTAAAAAATCAAAAAATGAACTCCTTAAGTTACTATGGAGATGAAATTTTCTCTTAGGAAATAAGCTACACTTGATACATCGGAGCAAGATTTCTGGTAGAAATATTTGCACAACAAATCGAGAGGAATTTTGCGAGATTAAAATAGTCCGAGGGAGCGATGGCTTGGGTCTCTAGGTACAACCCAAAATGCATTTGTTTTTTTTTTAGGTAAAAAGGAAAAAAAATGCAAAAAGTTTAGTTTGTAAACCTGGGTTCGAACTCAGAACCCTTAGAATGTTATTAGGTATAATTAACTATTAGATCACGACAAATATGCTTTGGGAAGGAAAAAAGTTATTTAATATAACATATAATATCCGTATAATATCAGAAATTCAAAAAGCTATAATTTCGAAACTCAGTCAGTCCGCTCAACTTTTACTTCACCATAGTTTTTAAATCGGCAATATACATATGTTACAAAATACAAAATTGAAAAATAATAGTATTATTTTCATAAATTTCCCGTTTTTCTTACGTTTTTCCCAGTTAATATGAAAACCGCTTGGAAAATCAAAAAAATGACCCCCTTAAAGTACCACTTGGATAACATTTTCTTTCATAAATGGTGCTGCACGTATATATCTGAGCGAGATTTCTGGTAGAATTTTTGTACAAAGTATAAAAAAAAAAAATTAAATATTTTTGACAGTGATAATGTTAGGTATAAGCTTATAAATTATAACTAAATAATTCTATTCGCCTAAGTATAATGTTTGACTGATTTATTTTCAATATCTAGTTTTTTTAATTTCTTTACTTCATGTGATTTAATGTGTTATTTTTGTAACTAACAAATAACAATATTTATACGCTGTTAATTGTTATATATAATATCAATATGCTTTAGTTTAGTTATTTGAGAAAATCGGCACAGTAAATGATGGCATCTGTAAATTGTGATTTACCTACTTATTATTGATGAATCGGATAAAATGGGTAAAAAAGATACGCTTTTATATACCTTACAATTCTCAGTGATTGTTTTTTGGTAAAAAAGCCAGTACAGTCACAGACGCAACTTTGAATTAGGTTAGACTGTTAGATTCTTGTAAAAAAATTACAAATATCACGATGAGAAATTCAATCGTAAACATTTTTTCATAAACCCCCTCCCCCCACCTATTTTCCACCGACTGGTTACACTTAATTTTCAATGTCGTTCGTGTAATTTACAAAATATTATTATTTAAGTATATTATTGTACATATTGGTAGTAATAAAAAATTACTACTAGACACACACTGCAGCTTTTAACATTTTTATTAATTTATGTATTTTAAGGCTATCATATTTTAGGATATATATATTTACGAATTTATCAATCATGAATCATTGTTTAAAATAATTTTCGAACAAATCGTACTACAATATACTCTACTTAGTCGACGTCGGGTAAGAAAAGTTTGGCCACATCTGCGAGTTTCTATATGTAAACCGTGACCGCTGTCGAATAACGACGTGTACAAGCTTATAGTACATATATATATATAGCTATTAGCTATAGATACCTATATATCCTTACCAGTTACCGCCGGTGATGGTATACCGATAAACGTTGCGGTCTCAACTGCGTTACTTTCCCCTTTTCCACCTCGACCATCACGGTTCGGTTCCGTTCGGATTCTGTAAATCCTACCGTAAACAGTAAACTGTTGTACACAGGTTTCCATTTTAAACGAACTTGAGTTAGTAGCGCAGGTCTAATCGTCATCAAACATCATTAGATACATCATATTTTAAGGGTGAACGAATAATCATACATTAGGTGTCATGTCAAGTTTGAAAACTGCGTTGCGTATAGTGTTTCTTAAATTGTTCAAAAAGAAGATACCAAAAATACTAGTGAGGTATAGTTGTTTCGTTGACACCAAAAACCACACACTTGTGATCAAATTCGGGGCAAGGGTGTTTTGCAATGTATACAATATAAATTGCACCCAAACAATTTGTTTCTAATACGTATATAAATAATAATCGATTAGACATCATTATGAAATGTGCGGTTTTTGGACACAACAATAATTTTAAAAATTGCACGGTTTTAACCTACCAAAAGTGCGCAGTTTTGCCCTGAATTTTA